CGTCCATTTAAAAGTGAGAAAATGCACCGCCCAGTGACGTCATCTGGTGGAATTTCTCATTTAAACACACGTATTTTAGCAGATTAGATCATTTTGTCGTATCTTCTCCAATAATTGTTAAATTTATGAAGCAAGGGTATCCTCGTGTTGAGCTCACTCGGTAGCGTCCGCTTACACCAGTAATTCATCAAATTTCAGACACCTGCAAATTCTCCATGAAGGAAAGAGGCTGTTTAGTGAAGGACTGCGCGGCTCTATATTTCACACTCAGTGTGGTGGTCCATTGATATTCGGTGGAGCTGTGAGAGACGAGAAACGGGAACGAGAATCGTGGTAGCGAGGTGGGGGCGGGGCGGGTGCACGGGCTCCACGCGACACCGGGACCGGGACAATGGCACCGCCACCGGGTCCGGCTATGCGGCAGCGGCTCCCGATGCCCGCAGCCGGCGCGGCGGCGCGGCGCGGCGCGGCGCGGCCCGCGGGTCTCGAGTCTCGTCCTCGTCCGGCTGTCAGCGCTCCATCACGGCTGTCACCGCCGCCGCGCCGCTCCTGTCACCGTCCGCCGGAGAGGCAGTCCGCTCCAGCCTCTATCTAGTGCAGCGCAGAAAGTAAGAGCTCCGTCCAAAGTTCCTGTCCGTACGTCCGAGTCGGATTCCGATGGACGATGGAGCCACCCAACCCGACGCGACGCCACCGACCCACATCCCATCGCGGTCCCTTTCATCGCGGCCTAGTTCCTCCTCCCCCCCCCCCTCCACCCTCCCTCTACCCTGCGCACGAGAAGCCGACCCACGCTCCGTCGGCCCGCAAAATATTCATCGACGTAGAAATCTTCGAATAATAGTCCTAGCAGACAAGCAGAACATATACTTCAATAAGAGTCACCAAGTACTGGAGCGCCGATTAAGTCCTTTTTGAGCCTGCTTTGTCCGGTACTTTTGAGACCAGTGCGTGGCGCGGCGCCGCGGCTGGGAAATGAAGGTTTCAAATTTATTTTACATAAAAATTGGGAGTTTCGTACATTGTTAAATTAGTTACGACTTCGGCCAACATAATATGCCGGAATTCGGTAAAATAATTATCGATTTAAATTATAATAAATCCCGGAAACCACCCGCAGCCCGCGATGTTTCCATAAGCCGTTGTGTTAAAAAATGCAGTTAGTTATACTTGAGGTTCACTTTCTTGGCTAGGGGCTAGAGGCTAGGGTTGCACCGTTCAAGGATTGGCTTCAGTGGTTTTCAGTACATGGCGACTGCATTGTTCTCCGTGGCGCAGAACTAGGGAGATTTTCTGGTCTTCGAAGACGCGATGCAACCGCCATTCTGCGCCCTACTATTGCCATGCCATGCTAAGGAAGAACGCCGTATGAACATGCGAGGAGTGCCAAATTTCCTTCGATAAAATGTTTATTTTTTTTGGGAAAGTTATGAATATTTTTCCTTTTTTTTTCCGAATCTTTAGGTAAAATTGCAAACAAAATTATCTGAAACATTGGGAGGAACATAATCATGAATTTACCAGGAAATTCGCGTTTTATCAAAGGAAATTTGGCAACGCCTGAAGGCTCATACGGCGTTTTTCCTTAGGACAGCAGTACGATCATGTTAGCCCGATCACGCCTCTTGTTTCAAATCGCTTTTTTCGAGGAATGGGCCTCCGCGGATAGGGGTGTCATCAGAGGGGGGTTGCGGGTAATCGTCCCCTCCCTTTTACACTTGATAATTAGACCAGCGGTCTGATTATTGGAATTGACAGACAAAGCGAGATGGGTAGACAAAACGAATGGATGGACAAAGCGAATGGATGGACGAAGGAGACAAACAGCAATGGAGCGATGCTATTGGTGAAAGCGGGTGGATGGAATGGACAAAGGTGGCAAGAAACAGACAAACTAACGGCAACCCTCGAGGAACCCTACAAAAACTAGACCATTGTTTTTCCCCGTGTCTTCAGCAACCGTCCGAAACCGACAAGATCGCTCCATTTTTTCGCCGTCTTCTTTGTCTATTGCGTCGTCTATTAATTTAAACGATGAACCCGTAGACAGGTGGAACTTCAAAGCGACGAGCAGGTATTTAAGGCGGAGAAGTTGTGCGGGAGTCGGCAAATTTTACCTGGCTGGTCTGGGCGATGAAGTGGGAGTTGGCAAGTGATAACGAGGATGATGGCTCGCTACCCGCTCCAACGGTTGCACAATCACATTTTCCCGTCGAGCTCGTCCGGCTAATGATATCCAAATCATGTGACTGCGCATGCGCGCACCTCGCCCGGGGCCCAGGGGAGCTTTCTCTGCAGCGCAGCGGAAACTCCCCATGAAAATTCACGCCTCACAAGTTATGGATACGGCAGATCAGATCTAGAGTCCCTTTATACCCAGAGTTAAGACATCTCGATTGTCAGCTGGCCTGCGGGCCGATTATTGAAATTGATAGACAAAGCTATAGACAAAGATGACAAAAGCGATATGGAGGGAACCTATTGGTGGAAGCTGGTGGTTACAATGGACAAAGGCAGTAGGAATAGACTAACTAACGGCAACCCACGAGAAACCCGACAGTTAGTCTATCATTTTCTCCCTTAGTCTATAAGAACCACACATTTCAACCGATAGGATCGCTCCATACCCCCCATGTCTTCTTTGCCTATAGCTTTGTCTATAGCTTTGTCTATCAATTTCAATAATCAGTCCGCAGGGCTGGCCTGGACTGGCCGTGGTGTCACAAAAGTGTGCACCCAAACGAACGATATTCAGGGATAAGGACAAGGAATCCTCCCATGTCTGTCATCCAAAAACAACAACATTAACAAAACTGATCCAAACCTAACCAAAAAAATTTCAATAAAATAAAATGAAATTGATTTGTGAATAATTTCTTAATTTATTTTCATCTGGGTGCGATGAAAACAACAATTCACTCTCGATAAATCACAATTACGTAATATTTCAATTATTTTTGTTTTTATTCGAGCCACCGCCATCTTGGTGCACTCTTTTGTGGCTCCATGAGCGAGAACCAATCAGAATTGGATTTTTTTTTCAGGCCACTTTCAGTTGTCTCCGAGCCCAACCAAGCCCGACCAGAGTTGAGATGTCCTAAGTCTGGGTATAAAGGGACTCTAATCAGATCTTGATCCCAGGGAACGCGTCGTCTCCCAAAGTGGGATTTTATCGCAAATAAAGACAACCGACTTTTTTGGGATTTAAGGAAATATGCTCGCGCGGGCTCAAATTGTGTTAGTATTTTTATTATTTTTTCCATTTCGGAGGAAACGATCTATACACATAATCTTATTCACCTTAATTGAAAGATCCATTAAAAATTATTGGGAGTTTAGAATCACCATGAGCAGGGCCTGATTTTGGGAGTTTGATTTCAAGTGACCCTTAAGAATTTTAAGCATGAAATCATACATATGACTATGTCGTGAATTTCTACTGGCACTAAGCACGGAAGTGCTTTCCGTGAAAAATATTTGCCGCCATAATAAAAATCATGACTTCGAGGTAAAAGCTTTTTTTATTTTTTTACAAAATTTCAGCCAATATGTTTGATCGAATAACATGCCCCAGTGTCGTACATATTCCATTCTTTAAAAAAAAAACAATCCGAGAGAAAAGAATCGATGTTCTTGCAATGTGTATCGCAGAGTTTCAGATCTTGCTCAATTCTCTAGTCGTACGAGGGGCGTTCAATAAGTAAGTATCCCCCCTCTCTAAAATCCATAAGAATGGACCAATTTTAAAAAACTTGGGCTCAAAATCTTCCTTAGGATATTTTGAGTTCAACAAAACAAACCGCAACAAAATCGGACTATGTGCGGCCGAACGCGAGCCGTTTGAACGCGCCGAGGTGCTCGACGCTCCCGCCGAATCTGCGAGGATTTGAAGTCCGCTACAGGAGAAGAGCTTCTCTGCCAAAGCCTCAGTCGTTCATCACTGACGAAAAATCAAAGAAATTTTTGTAGAATAACGGGCTTACCTCACTTCTCCACGTAACCAGCTCGATCCAAGCAAGTCTGATACTGAGACTAAGACTAAGAGAACAGCTTTTGGATGCCTCGAGCGTGGAAGTCTTTCAGCTGACCGCGGATGAAAGAGTGGACGGCTTGTTTCTCCTCTTCCACTGATTCAAAATTAACTCCTCCAAGTTCAGATTTCAGGAACGGGAATAAATGGTGGTCTGGTTTGCCATTTATTATCGTATCTGAAATCTGAACTTGGAGGAGTTAATTTTGAATCAGTGGAAGAGGAGAAACAAGCCGTCCACTCTTTCATCCGCGGTCAGCTGAAAGACTTCCACGCTCGAGGCATCCAAAAGCTGTTCTCTTAGTCTTAGTCTCAGTATCAGACTTGCTTGGATCGAGCTGGTTACGTGGAGAAGTGAGGTAAGCCCGTTATTCTACAAAAATTTCTTTGATTTTTCGTCAGTGATGAACGACTGAGGCTTTGGCAGAGAAGCTCTTCTCCTGTAGCGGACTTCAAATCCTCGCAGATTCGGCGGGAGCGTCGAGCACCTCGGCGCGTTCAAACGGCTCGCGTTCGGCCGCACATAGTCCGATTTTGTTGCGGTTTGTTTTGTTGAACTCAAAATATCCTAAGGAAGATTTTGAGCCCAAGTTTTTTAAAATTGGTCCATTCTTATGGATTTTAGAGAGGGGGGATACTTACTTATTGAACGCCCCTCGTAGTTACAGGTTTACTGTTGTGGTAACAATTAGTCGAGTTCCGGTAACAATTCTGACCAGAACGTCATTCTTACAGGGACCAAACTAATTTTTACCACAACAGAAAAACTGTAACTACCACAAAAGTAACGCACTATTACAATGACTACAGGAGTAGATATGACCTAGGTTCGAATATGAGCATTGTAATAACAACGGTTCCTCTTTCTCCGTGTATGATTAGTATTCCTTAAATGAACATCCTCGTCAGTTTTTCTTTCTTCTTGGAAATCAAAATGTATGAAAATAGGTATAAAATAAATGGAAACGTATTAGAGGGGGCTGGGCAAAAGCAATCTATTTATTTGATCTCTGACATTTTGTGTTGTAATGTGCTAGCTGATGAAGATTTTTAAATAAATTGATAGTAGAAGAACAGCGAAAGACCACGACGAAAGAGGAGCACCACTGGATAGACTGATTGAGCCCATAGGATCACTGAGAAATGTGCTCAATACAAGTCCCGATTGTGGCCTCACGTAAATGCATTCCGTTTTGCCCGCATCTCTTATTTTCACCTCCTCTCTGAAATGAGAAAAATATTCGTTCACCATCTTTTCACTGGCATTAGGTTTTCTTCGGACGATCTCTCATGAATTTAAGCTTGTTTAGCATGGTATGACTTTCAGGCCTTTCGAGCGATAGATTGATTGGAATTTTCCCTGAAATCTCCTGAACTTGTCTTTGAAACTGTTTCTTTGCGAACTGGAGTAGAGTCTAATCGCGAGCTCATGTGATAAAGCCCATTTTTCTACGCAATATTTGGGTAATTAAACTCGGTGGATAGCGCTATCCGCTGGTTTTCAGAAAAGTGGTAATACTCCGTTAGCTCCAAATATCGGAACTCAGCGTTCGGAATTATCTCATTCTTTATCGTCTGTCGGCTAGATTCAATGGCATGACTATATAAGGCATTTAATTTTCGTGGAATTATGTGAGTTTTATCAAAAAACAAGTAGAAAGTAAATGAAGGATATGGAAATAGATGACTCACCCAACGTTCATCCCTGAATTAGGACTTCTGGTATGAACGAACATCGTGTCCGGTAACAGTGAGGCTGAATCTTGGACGCAAATCTTCTCAGTTTCTGATCCCAAATTCATCAGCACTGCTACAGTATCACTCTTGAAAGACCTGGAATTTTAGTAAGCGTTAGATGAATTCATCGGGAAAAACAATTATTATTAAAGATAGTGTTAAGAATGTACACGCTATTTGTAACAATGGGAATAGGCGCCTCAATTTTTTTTGTTTATATTGATTACTCAATTCTCTGCGAATTTTTCCAGTTCCAAAATCAAAAGGTCTTTAAAGAAAGCTCTTCATAAATTTTACCGAGTATTAAACGATTGTAATTGCAGCATGGCGATCCAATTTATGGCCCCAAAAATTATCTCAGCATACAGGCAATTTCGTCTAATTCTGATCATGCAGTTTGATAATGAGGGATGTTGAAGTAGTCAGTTCAAAGTGCTCTCTTCACTCGGACTTATTCATGCCAAAAGGAACTATCTCACACGCAATCCCTATGCACATAGTTCCTTTTAGCATAAATACGTCCACTTTATAAATACTCCTCCCCTTTCCCCTCTTCTATCTTTGTGATGTGTAGTTAACGTGATGCGTGTGTGCAATAATAGACCATCTACCCTTCCTTAGACATTTCTCTCTTTTAAAAAAAAGCCTCCGACAGGATTTAGAACTTAAACAGCTTTTATGCATCACACTTCATTGCACGGGGCATAGAAAATACTCTCTTTCACTCTTTCCTCTTTTCGTGGTCTCCTAGTAAAAAAATGCCGAAAATTTCCAGCGTGTAATTTTGCGGGAAAATGATTCCGACTCGGAGAAAACCATTAAATAACCGAATTTCTAAAGAAATGTTCCAAACAAAGCGACGGTTGAAATTGTTTTTTAAAAAAACCGAAGAAAAAATATCAAAAGCTGTCTACAAACTTAGCTAGCGGCGGTTCAGGATTCCGTAATCTCACATGCTGCTGCCCTGAGGTTTGGGAAATTCTGCTTGTAATTTAGTAAAACTCACCTTGTAAACATGAATACCATTTCCTCCAGCACATAGGTGCGCAAATCTCCATGACGGATGACAGGCATCCTTCTTAGCTCAACGAGTCGTTTGTAAATGTTGAGGTGGCTGTTGGGGTCCTGCCTTTGAGCCTCTACATTTGTCCGCCAGTAGTTCGGGTGGACAGGTAGCCACGGATTTTTCGCAGTCGTGAACCCTGTAACATCCATGTAAAAATCCATCATCCTTATTTTAAATCGCAGACTCTCTGGGCTGAAACCGCAGGAAAATTAAACAATCTCTACACTAGAGGTGATCTCATCATCTCTTCTCTAAGTGAGATGCACTCAAAGGGAAATTGTGTCAAGGCACAATTCATCGAAACTATTTGTCATATATTAATTAACGTTCTGAGGCCAAGATACACCGTTTAGTCTAAGAAGTCTGAATGTCTCCACTCTTGACCCACAATTTTTCTCTAAAAAAATACAGGTAGTTCTTAGGAAGGGTGCAGAAATTCTTCATTGCAAGCTTCAGTGTAAATTTTATGTTGACAATACCGCGGAAATTTAAAAAACTCGCTATAGCTCAAGAATTCCTTGAGCAAAGCTCGTTTCTTCATAGTAGCACGGTAAAACCCACGGCTTTAGCCGTACTACTATACAAAACATTCTTATCAAAATCATAGCTTTTGCAGAGTCTTCGGCACATCTAATAATTTGAACTCGCTGGCGCCGCGAATTCTAATTATCGCGCGTAATAATAATTAAAGGCGTGCATCTTATGTAGCACCTTCAACATCGTGCATATACTTCAAATGCTACACCTTTATACATCTGTTCCTATCTGCAAATTGCCTAATGCCTGTACTGCGCCTGTCCGAGTGTGCACCGTCCAACCGCGGTGCACGAATCTGGCGATAGAGCACATTGTGCCGGCTTACAATGGATCGAGTCAATTAGAGAGATCGGACATGAAATTTTTGACTAAAACTGAAAATTTTAATGTTTATTTCGTCTTATCTTACATTTTAAGGAGTGTTGCTGGAAGAAACGTCTACGAAAAAACCAATGGAACCCCTTTAAGAATAACCTCAAAGTTGTGCATAAACGGAGTCATAAGCGTTTAAAGTTTCCAAATTTTGTCCGACCTCTCCTAATGACTCGCCCCACTGTGCGGCGGTTAATAGAGATTTTTGAAATCGATGGTGAAACTCCCAAAGCTTGTATCTCGGTTTGCAGCGTCGCAGACTTCCTGTCATACTTTAATTTTTAACAGGAGCACTACACAACGTCAATTCTTTAAAACCTCCTCGATTTTTCCTCTATGCGTGAAGGAAATTATGTGAAAATTTCATGGAATAATGTTGATTTGTTCTTCTTCACAAAAATAAAAAGGAGGCGGAGATTTTGAAACACCGTAAACGAGATACGTAGTTTGGGAGTTTCACCATCGAAATGCTTCACTACTATGGATTCCTCCCACGGTTCCCCCCAAGTAGCTATGCGCCTTTGATGCTTAATTAGACGAAGGCAGAGAACATGGTAAACTGCGCTGTAACTCAGAGGGCAGAGGGCGGGAAAATTTCGGGACGGCGACTATGGCAAGTGGCATTGTTTTTTACCTGCGTTTCTGGTATTATTCCAGAGCATGGGGGATCTGCATCCGTCGCGGGTCTCAGTGCGATCACCGCCGGCATTTTGAAGGTCTTTGCGTTGGTTAGCGCGGACATGGGTAGTGGGGCCGATAAGCGTAACAATCGTGCACTTCTGGAAGAAAGCATGAAAATTTCAGGGATTCATCTCTACCCTATAGACATTCGATTTAGACATAGACCCCAAAAATCTGAGCCCCCTGGGGGGGCAGGGGGGCCCCCAAATTTTGAATTTTGAATAACTACGGAACGGCTAATGTTAGCGTAATTTTTTTTACAACAGAACGATGGGACATTTTATTAGGAACAAAACTGGTTCTTATGAATTTTTCCGTGGGATCTATATTTTAGGCGTGAAAACGGGAAAAACCATCGGGGGACGGGGAGCCGGCCGTTCTGAGGCAGATCCGCGCGCTGCGCTGCCTGCCCGGGACGCGCGTTGCGGCGCGGTACGGTGTTACCGACGAAACAACCGCTTGTCTTCGTTTAATTTCAACGATGCGCAGTTTTAAAAATATTATGAATAGATCTTACTACCTATGAAGCCTTAAAAAAGGCTTAACTTTTGCAGGTAATATAATGTATGTATGCAAGCGAGCGGACGGCAACGGAAGGAGAAGGGGTTAGGTGCTGGAGTTCTGGATTGTTTTGTTGTATGGATTTGTCAAGTTCAAGTACTAAAGCATCCAAGATAACTGTATCAGTCATCAGTTGAATGGAATATAATCTGACGTACAGTTGTCTCGGGAAGGGGGGGGGGCTAAAAGTCACACATTTTATTTGTATACCACGATGACCTAAAAATGATTTTAAAGTGTTCGTACCAGGATGGTATCTAAATATGCTTACCAACCCTAAAGTTCCCGGGAGACGGCTTCTAGCCAGACTTTCAAGACAGGGAACCTAATTTTGTAAAAAAATGAGTAAAAAACAAGCATGCTTATTCTCTTCTCTCGAAGGAACATTTTGGTACATCATTGCTACGTATAGGCATTTTTTTAAGAGGATCAAAACCACATTCAAAACTTGCTCCAAGAAACGCCAAAAGAATCTTGAGAAAGCTTGATAGGGATAAACGACCCCCCAAAAACCTTTGTTGGACTGCTTCTTGTATAAGTATAAGGAATATTATTAAGTAATAATTAGCCGCCACTATCCGCTAATCTGCAAAAACGGTCCGCTTGAGTGATATGAAGTCGCGCCTACTGGGAACATATCCTGCTCTTACGTCATCAATAAAATCTCGCATCACACGATTTCCCTCAATCTCGGTAATTTTGCAATTGATTACCGATTACTGATTTTAACTGATTTGTTGATATTTTGACAAGAAATTAACCCTCTGTTAATCTCTGAAGCTAATTTGATCAGTGTTATACTGTGCGATAAAGTTTAAGGTGTGCGTTTTGTGCATTACATATTTCGCAAGTCCCGTTTCTTGAAAGTTGTCTCCGACATACCAAGAACTCTTCCCCGAGCTCTATACAAATAAAAAATTGGTACGAGATTTGCGGGTTAAAAAACAAGAAATGCAATGAATTTCTTCCTGAGGTACTGGTCCTTCTCAGAGGTTCTTTAAAGGATCAGAACCTGCATATGAGAAATAAATTTCCTCCTATATTAATATTTTTTTCAATACAAATGTTACCAACTCCACTCCAAACTCCATAGACCAAAATGAAAGCAGTGGCGTGGCGTGAATAATCGATTATCGATATCTCGCCATTTGAAGCTATGGTAAAGAATCGATTATTAAGGTGTTCGCTGCGAACACCCTGTTTATCGATCCTTTTCTATAGGTTTAAATGGCATAACAATCGGTATATCGCAATTCACGCCACGCCACTGAATGAAAGATAATATACATGGATTTTTTTTACTGCTCATTCCATTTTTTATGTCTTGTGGTTAGTATACCAATAATAATCTTCAAGTGTGACTCGATAAAAAGAAGCGATAGTATTCAGATATCTTCTTTTTTATTATTCAGATAGTCCAATGGTAGTAACAGAAATTTTAAAACTCTTCAAGAAACTAAATTTAAAAATTTAAAATTGCCTAGTCCCCGACGTAAATAGCCTAGATGCTGATCGTCGTTAAATAAAATTAACTAACTAACTCATTTGATATATCGTTCTATTTTGTGAAATATGCATATTTGTTGAATATCTGAAAGAGTGGGAAGTTCATGAAAATGAATAGGTACGTCTGTTGACTGGCTGGAGTAAAAAAGAGGAGAAAAGAACACTGTCGGAATGTTCCGCATGTATCAGTGCCTATGCAATTGCGAGAAACTAATTAACAAGAACAAAAAACGATATTAGAGGAAAAGGAAGGAAATCTGGGCACCTTAGTGGCAAGGGACTGTGAAGCCCCCCCCCCCCACTCCTCAAGTAATGTCTTTGCGTCGAGTATTGCAGAGTTCTTGATAATGTAAGCAGCTCATGGTCCCATTCGCCGAAAGTAACATGAAAAATAAGCTAAAAATAAGTTATCAAGGATCCCATTTCCAGTAGTCATGAAAAAGTGGGTCAAAATCTATTAAAATCTTTATCTACTTAAATCTTATTTCGCTCTAATATCTTAAAAAATGTAATCCTTTACAAAAATTCCGTAAGGAAAGGGTAATTTACTCTGTACTGAGGTCCGAAAAGCTCTGTATTCATGGAAAACAAGACACGTGATGCGCGATGACCGACCCCTCCTATTGACTCGGCGCTCTCACATTGGAGTCTTTCGCCTTTTGCTTGCTTTTATTTAATACTAATATAAAGTAAGGCTTATATTACTACGGAAAAGTATTTAGGCAGTACGGTAAATTTATAATAGTTTTAAAACTGCGCATCGTTGAGATTAAACAAAGACAAGCGGTTGTTTCGTCGGTAACACCGTACCCCGCCGCCGCGCGCGGATCTGCCTCAGAACGGCCGGCTCCCCGTCCCCCGATGGTTTTTCCCGTTTTCACGCCTAAAATATAGATCCCACGGAAAAATTCATAAGAACCAGTTTTGTTCCTAATAAAATGTCCCATCGTTCTGTTGTAAAAAAATTACGCTAACATTAGCCGTTCCGTAGTTATTCAAAATTCAAAATTTGGGGGCCCCCCTGCCCCCCCAGGGGGCTCAGATTTTTGGGGTCTATGTCTAAATCGAATGTCTATAGGGTAGAGATGAATCCCTGAAATTTTCATGCTTTCTTCCAGAAGTGCACGATTGTTATGATATTTTCCACTTATCGGCCCCACTAGGGCGTCTTCCATTCCGAGCTCGCTCCCGTAATAAATACACGTGGCTCCGGGCATGAGGAGAAGTAGCATGTTCCATGCCTCCACGCTCTCCGGGTAGTATCGCGTGCTCACCCTAGGATTGTCGTGGTTGTCCCTCTGCAAACAAACCCAATACCTAATGTACATTATTCCACAAAAGCGGGAATTATCTGTTCCCGGAACAAGCCGTCAGAGAGTTTTCAAAAGTTTCTGTGACGCCGTCGTAAAAATTTGGCAGTGAAAGGGAATCGGACAGAATCAGATTGCTTTATGAAACAAATTATTCTAATATTTACCTGAGGAGGGTATGTCTACAAGTCCGGAATTTCCGGAAAATCCGGATATAGTACTGATTTTTTTGTAAGGGCGGTCCGGTAGTACTGAAAAAGTGCGGAATTTCGCGAGAGGGTCCGGAATTTTTGTCAATTTTTTCGCAATTCGAGCGAGAAATTCAAATTATTGAAAATTTTCGAATTTCGTCAATTGGAGGCACTGAAAAAGTACTGAATTTCTCTCATGAGGAGGTACTGAGTTTCTTGGGAATGGACTGGAAAAGTACTGTAAAAGTAATGATTTTTGGCCAGCCTGTTTTAGTAGACACCCTGTTACCTGGTGTTTGTCTGATGTCAGACTATTTTGAGTTTCAGTCGTTAAACATTGTCCATAGCGTGGAGTTTTATGTAAGGATAAACTTTTAAACTTCCTGTATTTCGGTTTCAGCTTGATACGACCTTATGCGTTTCTGTTGAACTCGGTCCTTATAAAGTATTTCTAATCAATCTAGAGTTCTAGACTGACTCACCTACGACCTATCAATCCACTCGCTCAAACGTATCGAAGAGCGGTGTCTAAAATACAGGCCAAGCAGCCAAGCCCCCCGAAATGCGCGTATTCTTTGCATTTTCCGTATATTTTCCTAGGTCCCAAGTACTTTTAAAACCCTCCAAAAATGAAAAAAAAAATGATTAATTAATAAATACAAATAAATTCCTCCAGTTTGGCAGTGTGGTCAAGTTTTCGATGACTAGAGTGCATAGCTAACAAACAAAAACAGATTATTTTACACTTCACGCCAAAAATTTCTTACATAAAGTGCATCAATATTCTCTCCGCTCCGTTTGTTATCAATGAAACCTTTGTATTTACCTTTTTAGTGAAATATATCTCACTCACTCTCGCATGACTCATATTTGTAGCTTCACCCGTTTGAAATTCAATTTTAACTCTTAGGCATCGAGGTGTGTTTCACAAAATATTATAATAGTGCATGCGAGGAAATTCCACGTATGAATCAGTTGTTTTACAAAGGGAACAAGTCCATTTTTGCATGAACCCTGGTTTGCATAAATGGACACGTTAACTATGACTCATCGAGGAATATGGGCCTGTTCCCTTTTGAAAATAACTGATTCATATACCAATTGGACTTATTTCTGCCAAACGAAACTATTTGCATTATGACGTGAGCCCTGTTATGCATATAATTTTATGGGTCTCACGGCTCATGTCTAAATGTATACATAGCTCTGTTTGGCAGAGATACGTCCAATTCATATCTGCATTTATAATCAGGAGAAATCTTTGTTTTACGATTTTGGGAATTTGAGTTTACAACGTAGGGTTGTTGAATTAGATCGAGAGAAATAGGTTACTTTTAACCAGAGGTCTTATGGTCGTGGGAGACAACATGATGTAACCATACAATTTAAGGTGTCCATTTCAAGATGTAACTACAAAACAATGATGTGACACGCCCACCAACCGATTATAATAGATATTATAATTTCATGCTAACTTACGGCCCAATTGAAGGAGCGAGCGGGAAAGGATTCAATCATTTCTTGGATGTAGGAGTTCAGCTTTGACGCGGTGGTATCGAAATCGAGCCATGCCATCCGAACGAAAAATGGAATTTGAGCTCCAGGGTGAGTAGCGTTCCCCAACTGAAGGCTCAGAATTTTAGGCATATCGTAGGCTTCCGTGCTCAATAATCTGAAATAAAAATGTACCAGTTATACAAGATGTCGCAAATCGAATGGAGAAAACTCAATGGATCAATTCCTTAGAGCGAAATAAGACTGCTCTTTGTTATTTTTATAGATTTACCGATTCTGAGGGGGATTTATTTTTAGGAGGGGGGCTTAATTCCTCCACTTGTGTTTTCTTTTTTTACTTTATTGTCACCTAAAATGTAACTAGCGCATAAAAAAACTCTTAAATCTAAATCAAATCAAACTCTATTCTGTAATATGAAGTCATAAGAGTAACGCGTTATGCATAACGTCTGTTGCGCGAAGCGCTTCGGGGGGTTGGACCGCGAAGAGGTCAGGGGACGTAGCTTCGTAGTTTATCTAATTCTGTCGGTAATTGTGGGTACAATTCTAAAAAACAATTATTTTAGAAATACTTTGAGGTGTCACGTCCCGTCGTCCCCCTTAAAATGTCTCAAACGGAAAAGTGTTATTTCGGTCCAAGGAATCAAATGCCCAAAGTTTCCTCTTTTTGATCCGGGACATCCTTTATGGTTCATAGTCTTATTATTATACGCTTTATCGATGGTCACTTTGCTAAGGATGGAGCTAAATTATTTCTGTGCTGTTCTCAAGTTAGATAGAAGACCTGTCATCCTCTTTTTTCTACATACTTTCAATGTTGAAATTAACCAACACCCGATCGGTCGTTCGCGAACTGCAGTAGGTGGGAAAATTGCGGAGGCAGCAAACTTGTCTAATGAATTTTTTTACCACGTTTTGATCAAAATACGCCTCATTTTTGCGTTTACCGTCCGAACTTGTGTAGGCCGCCCTACGAATTTCCAAATAACGCACGCATCTCCGAACTTATTGTTAGCGCTATTCTCGAGTCAAGAGAGCCGAAAGCGAGATTACAAATACGGTTCCACCGATCGGGTTCGGAGAGACGGCGCGGCGCGATGCTTGAAGTATACTACTGTTTTGCAGGCGCTTCCCAGGATAGTTTTATGCGTCATGTTCTCAGTTCAAAATTTCAGAAATCCTCTTCCGGAAGATGAGGTCCTTTTTCACAGATCCGGTCTCCGAAGCAACAAAACTTCCTCGCTTTCCCACGACGCGACGATGAAAAAGAACTCGGCCTTTTTTTTGAAAACTCAGAAAATTTTAACACAAAATGATAAATTCGGATGGAGAGAAACGCGTGATACAACTATTTCGATTCCCAGGAAAGTAAAATTCCATATTCATAAAATGAAGGAGGGGAGATTCATAAATGAAGGTAACTCTTATCGGCTGACCCAGAGACTTTAACGCATGAGCAGAAAAGTCGGACGGGGCGAGGCACGTGAACAACTATTTCGACTTCTACGTAGGTAAAATGCAATGCCACACAATGAAGGGGATTATAGTGTTCTCTATTATCTCCACTGTTCGGTTGGTCAAACCCAAGTTTCAGTTCGTATACTCCAATGTTCAGTTGGTATAAACGAACTAGAGGTTAAAAGAACTGATGAAAGAAGTTCGGTTTTACGAATAAAAAAATATGGTTTAATCGAAAGAATGAACGCACTGATATTTCTGAAACCTTACGACAAGGATGTTGATATTTTGTAAAAAGTAGTACAAACGCTCTGCGTTTTAAAGAAGTAGTGCGGAATCGTTGAATTCTTTAGGAAATTACTGCGCAAGTCTTGAATTTTTAGAAAATAACCGTCAAAGTGTTGACTTGTTAAGAAAGTGTCGTGCGAGCGTTAAATTTTTGAAAAATTCACCGGAAAAGCGTTTAATTTTTAGAAAATTACCACGAGTGACTCCACGGCCTTCTATAACCACGAACGCGCTATTTTCTGATGAAAGTTACTGCGAAAGCAGTTTTTCACAGTGCCTATAGGCTGACTCTCCATAGTTTCTCAAAACTTGGAAGATAGAAAAAATTCCCGGATTCCCCGGACGATAGATTCGATTTTGCGTTTGTAAAGTGAGTCAAATATATTTTCTGGAAGTCGTAAGCATGTCTCTCTGAAATGAGATTCCAAAAACTGGAACTTGGGCTTGTATTCAAGACTGGTGTCAACATGACTTGAAGACAGAATCCTCGTTTTATACTGTGTGAAGTTTCACCTACCTCGCTTGTCCATCCTTTTTAACGTACTCATCGAGAACTGCCCGCCATGATTTGATAAGTTGCAAATTTCCAGGTTGGCGCATCATGTAAACCATGGAGACTCCTTCGATGACACCGAGTCCTCCTTTGATGCCGGCTGGCGCATCCGCGTAGTGCTCCGCCTCCAACAAGTGATTCACCGCGTCAACTCGGAATCCGTCAACCCCCAAGTCCAACCAGTATCTCAGTACATCCTAACAATCAAGCCTCAATTTTCACTTTTCGCTCATACAAAATTAGTATCCGTGCGTGCCCACGTATACAGGGTACAGGGTGTTCCAGATCATCCGCACCAGGTTTTTTTCTCGCTTTTCTTTTTTTTTCCGTCGAGGATCGCGGGGACACATAGGGAATCGACTCGAAAAAATCCGAATTTCGTCATCTCGAAGCATTCGCTCCCCCCCCCCCCCTGCTCCTGACTCCATCAAGGGCTAAAGAGGGATTCCTAACTTTGAACATCGGGGTTTCCTTCACGATTTTGGAATTATTTTACCCATCAATATCAGAGAGTACGAAAACTTCTGACCTAAAGCGATACAAAAAAGGCAAAAATCGGCCCATTTCCTCTGGAGGCTCTGAGCCCTGAAGTTGGGAAACGGAGTCCCTCCTCGATAAAATGTTAGGTAACTAAATCTATGTAAAGGCTCGTAGAAAGGGTTTTTTCAGATGCAACTGACCCCAAGGAATTCGGCTCTAACGGTTTTGAAGCCCCTCAGAGCCTTGCTGTTGAGATAAAGGGAGGCTCAAAGCTATAAAAGTTGACAAGTCCGGGACTTGTTCAGTACTTCAGCAAAGAGGGCCGGTGGGGGGAAGGGCTTTGGAACCGTCAGAATCGGATTATTTGGGGTCGATTTTCCCTGAGAAAACCTTTTTTCTGGGACATAGTGTCAATTTAGTATGACCTAGCATTTTATCGAGGGGGTCAAAGCTCTGTCCCTCAACTTTTTCGCGGCCAAAATTTACCGCTTCTTTTGATTTGGTCCGATCATTTCAAAATTGTGACTGAAACTCCAAGTTTTAAATTCAGGACATCCTCATTCACCCACAAAGGAAACCACGGCCCTCAACTTCTTCCGACGAAAAATAAATGAGAAAAAAATCTGGCACCGGAAGTCAGGCAGGGACACCCTGTATATATTACTGCAGAACTAATAGAGTAAAATTTGACAAAAAATGTGTTGAAACTAACTTGACCTGCTTTTTAAAAAAAAGTGATGCAAAAAAATTATTATACAATTAAAATTCCCTCTATTTTTCATTGCAAAGCATAGAATGAGAAAGAGAGTGAGGGGGAGAGAGGGAGGGAGAGAGAGGGGAAGAGAGGGGGGAAGAGGGGGAGGGAGGGAGAGGGGGAGAGAGAGAGAGAGAGAAATGAGTTTCCTGTGCCCAGCTTTGAAACGAAATCAGGCTGATAGGATTTTCAGAAAATAGTATCAGAAAGAAACGCATGTTTGCTCTTTGTCCCGCGATACGAAAAAACTTGCCTTTTCAATGAAGAGGCAAGCAATGGTATGAGGAGTCCTTATACCTTTGGTATCGTATTACTCTTTTGTATGGCACTTTGACTGAAAATGAGAATGAGCGACATGTCGAGCAATTCCTATACCAAGCAAGCCAATGTCTAGTCAACTTGTTCAGCTCATTCTGTACCAATGCATAACTCGAAGATAAACACTCCACATAAATGAATATGGCCGTTACTGTTTTATAATAATTTTCCATCTGCTTATGTTGAATTCTAGCTAGTAAAAATCCTTTTGTTAAATTGAAACGATAGTGGTGGGTCTCTTTAGAGTGAGAGTAATCAGTGTATGACTATGTACAACTTACTATGTACTATGTACTTTTACGTGGCCATCACTGGGCAAGATTGAGAGTGGAGAGTATAAAATTGTATGAAAAAGCTAAATTAAGTGTTATAGAATTACCTCCATTTCTCGACGCACACGAGGGTTGTAATAGTTGAGATCCGGCTGTTGCGGCGCAAACTGATGAAAGTAATATTGTTTCCTTTTTTCACTCCAAGTCCATGCTGGACCTCGGAAAACGCTTCGCTGTGAAATATATCGTAAATGGAGGATTTAGCGAAAGCAACAGAAAAACGTAAAATATCCTTTACAATTTGTCGTAGGGAAAGCATGGCCATCTGTATCTTTTTAAGACAAGAAAGTTGTGCCGCTTTTCCATTGGCTGCGTAATTTAGGCTATCATGAAGCTCTCACGGCCGCAAGTCAACAAACGTTCCTTTTTGACCGATTTCATTAACTTAACACCCACTGTTTGTAGTATATTTAGTTTTAATGAAGAACCCTTAATCACAGCTTAGATTTACTCTCCAGTCAGGGAATAATCATTGTAGTATGATCGAAAAGGATCGATAATAGTGTCTCAGAAAAAGGGTTATGATGTGTTTTCGAACTGTATGATTATTTGTCTAGAGTTGGGTCGGAAAATCGGATTTTTAGTTTCGACAGAAAACGTCATATTGTGTAGTAAAGACCGAGTCGGTCCGGCTCGAAATGATTCGTGTGCTTAAACGTTTTTGGGGCCCTCTCCTCTCAGGTTAGGACCTCTTTTTAATTCCACCTTTATAAGGATTTTTCAGATTTTGGGGGGCCCCTGCAAGAAACCTGCCGGGATCCTCTGAGACACCCGTCAGAATTTTTGGGAACTTCTGAGCACCCATGGCGAGTCCGCCCTTAAGTAAAGAATAAGTTGCGAGCAATTTAATTAATTTTTTTGCATACAGAAGAGCGTCAAGTTGCATAATATATCGCCAGTTCTGTACTCAGAGGCGCGGCAAATTAGAATCAGCTAACTCTCAGAGTACGTATACCTTAAACCTCAATCTTTGAATCACAATGATTTCCGTATGGTTTGAAAGCGGGTATTTTTAGTTCCCGAATGTTTGAAGAACATTCCTCTATGCTCTATAGTATCAAAAACTCAAAAGAGCCTCGGTTTTTGACAAGGGTGCAAATTGTTCTAAGCCTCCGCTATTTTCCGTAGCGTGCCGGGATTTCGCAAAAGGGTGAACATAATGCGCTGATCAAAATTTTGTTGAGCTTTTTTACTAATTTTGAAATAAGTGTGCCAAAATCGCATTATTTCACCAAAATTGAAAATCTGAAATACTTAAAAAAAATCTTTAAAAAATCTAAAAAAAAAAAAAAAAAAAATTCTCGGACTCCATAATTTTTAGGGCTGCTCCGGAATTAGGTCGCGATCGCGCTATCGAGAACAATTAACACCCCTGATCTTTGAGTGTTCACTTCAATTAGTTTGTGAATTCAGTATATTCATACCCAATTATTTGGATGTGTTGTGTGAGTTTCGTTAATCCGTTTACCGTCCTTCCAAACGTAGAAATCTGTGAACGGTTCGATACGTTGTTCGGAGAGCTTAAACCACTCACCTTGATCACTACTATGATTCGGCACAAAGTCAACAATCACTTTCATCCCTAAAATATGCAGAAAAAATCAATCGCTAAAAATTATTTTAGAAAAGAATAGCTTCAATTTAAGTCAGAAGATTCGAACAAGACCAGTCGGGACCAAACGGAAGAGAATAACATTTCGTACCCTTCCGGCCAAAGTATCACAAGCGCCATGCGATGTTTCAAAATTTTCGCTGCCATTTATTTTTGTACAAAAAATTGTTGGTTGAATATGTTTGAAAATTTCACGAAATATTATCGGCAGCACAAGGAAAACTTAGTGAAATTTTCGGACAGCTTCGTTGAACAATTTCTCTGTAAAAAAATTAAAATAGCGGCGGAAACTTTGAAATGTCGCTTGGCACTTGCGATACTTTGACCGGAAGGTGACGATTTCGCCCTGTTGCGTCCCTCTAAAATATAAGGAGGTGCCAGCGTAGAAAACTTATCAGAACCGAAAAGTATTCTCAAAATCGAAAATGAAATTAAAATAAAATATACATATAAATTAAAACAAAAATAAAATAAATACAAAATCAATGGAATAGAATTACCTTTCTCATGACTATTTTTTAGTAACCTCTTAAAATCATCCATGGTACCGAACATTGGATCAACAGCTCGATAATCAGCAACGTCGTAACCCATATCAGCCATCGGCGACTTGTAGAACGGTTGAATCCAAATTGTGTCCACGCCTATCTCCTTGACATAATCCAGTCTTTCAAGAATACCTGAGGAACCAATGAGTTGAATTTAAAAAACCAAACAAACTTTTTCAACGAATCACCTTCTATCAGAATTAACATTACACTCATGGAGGAAAAAAATCTCGTCAAGTCGGAGAGATAACAAAATAAATCATTGCGTTTGTTGCATAAAAGTAAAAGTAACAATTGAGATAGATTGTTTCAATTTAATATCATTAGAAGATTTGTGCTCACCATTTAGATCACCGTAGCCATCCCCATTTGAATCCTTAAAGGAGCGTGGGTAAATCTGATAAATCAGAGTGCTCTCCCACCACTCCTTCATTCCGCCGCTGCTTAGAATCTGATGGCTTTCCGAAAATCCAATCCAAATGTTAGCGCACACAACAAAGTAGAGTAGTCTCTCCATGTTTCTAATGAGCCACCAGAATGTGTTGCAGTCCTACGAAAGATATGTATAATAAAACTTAAATCAAATTCAATGCGTTTTTCCTAAATGGAGCCTTCACAATTCTATGCCTTTATTCCAATACCCGTCTTTGCAGAAGAAATATCATGGCCGTTTTACAAAAAATAGGATCCTCTGTTTTGGCGCAATACACCCTGATAAACACGATCAATGATTTTACACGCGATGTGGATTATTCTGGACTAATCCAAGTTTTAGTTTTCACATGAATAATTGTAAGCAATGTTTTCGCAGAAAATCATCTTCCCAAATCTTAAAATACTTATCAAATGCATTGTTCCCTTTTAACCATCGCTGTCGATGCATTGAAACCTACTGCAAAATGAATACAATACTTTTGCATTTATTTTACAATTTTAGAGCGTGAATGCTGGCACTAAAGTTCTTGACTGAAAGAGACTGAAATTTTGATCTTTTCATAATAATCAATCTGAATAGTTAAAATTTGAGGTAAATCGATTTTACCCAGAATGGCTCTCAGGAAAGTTAAAAAACACCTCAAGTGATTAAAAAACGGCGCGGGATTTTTACAATGCCTCTGATCAAGGTGCGCGTTTTCAAAGTTTAAAGTTGTTGTTCTAATTTTTTATCTCATTTGCAATTCAAACAAAATTAGGGTGGTCAAAGATAGTCTGGAAAAGTAAGAGAATTTAGCAGGTGGTAAGGAATATTTTCACTTGAAGAAAAGGCCGCAATGACCGGTAGCACTGGTCTTCTGTATGTCCCTATCTTTACCAAAGTATGAAACAATCTGATGTGAATGCAACAGCAAGATGCTCTTTTTCCACATAAACGGACAGGGGGGATTTTCTTTTGCTTTTTTAAAAAAAAAAAAAATTAAACGAATAAGTCATGCATCTCGAGTTTTAGGCTGAGGCGTCACTTTTTAGTGAGTCAGAATCGTAGTTTTTTGGTCGAAAGTCAGTCTCATCCTCGCTTCAAGTTACTGGTTCACAATCTCAGACAACGTGTACTGATTCTCGGTTCTCCTACTCCTGTGGATCAGCTTACATTCATGACACTTACCCAATAGAACCACCTGCTGAAAGATCACAACGAGACAAATGAAACAGGTCCACGGCAGGGAGCAAGCCACAGTTACACTAAAGGATGCTTGACTCTGGTCCAAGTATTTATAAATTGGTATCCTCATCGACTATTCCTCATCCACATTTGAGGAAGCGTACTTTTGAAAGGCAAATTACTTTTATCTATGAATCCTAAATGGATTTCGAGAAATTCGAATCAGAGAGATGAGAATGGCCAACCAGCAATTCGATAGAGGATTAGATAAGTTTGTGACCTTTCTATGAGAGCAACTTCAAAAGAATTCTCTTACATAGTAAAGAATCTCGAGTACATCGAGTGGGATTTGCATAGATTGCAGCAAAAATCGCTTAATTAATCACTGGGCCCATTGCAAAACGCAAAGTATGATCCTGACGTAATCATTGTTCATTTCTCGAGGACTTGGTATGACATCATACTCTGTTTTGGAACGCTTATCAATGAAAGAATTTAAACTGTTCCTCAACAAAGTTCTTCTTCGATACGAGAATTTTGACAGTCGTTCCCGAAAAGAAAAGATCCTTCGTTCTTCACCAAAATGTTGACAGGTAGCAACGTCCTACGTTTTTAAAATGTTCAATGTACAATTTGACGGCGAAACCGCGGAAATGCGTATCGCGCTCACGATTTTTCAAAATCTCCATTCCCAATTTATTTTTCATAAGGAGACCTATCCAACATCCTGCCTTGAAATTTCCACAGAATATTCTTCACACCAGATGGAAAAATCTGCAAAGTTTTAAAAAAAATGACGTTTCAGAGTTTTCCACGTTGAAAATAATGTATTCCGCGTTGAGGCCGACCTGGATTGATGGAGGGGGGGGGAGGAGGTGTGGTTGTGTGTCAAAATATGGAAGCAAAGAAATTCAGAAAGCATAACCTATTGGGTATCGGTGGATCGGGCGCGCTGTTACGTTGGCGTCTTACGCTGGCGTCACTCTCGTCGTCGCGCTACATGGCGATGCGAAAACAACGTAAATGCAGCCGAAATCTCGGGCAGGTGCGCGGTTTCATCTGGGCGCCGTAGCGGGGCCGTGTGAAAAGAAACCCGAGCCGCTTTCCAAGTTTCGATTCCGCTAATCAACTTTGATATTGCATCTCATTTTCGTGGATCGTCGCCAGGCGCAGCGCGCAGCGCGAAGCGCGTAGCCGGCCCCGGCCCAATGTTCGCCCTCGCCTCTGCAGAAACGCACAAAAACTTCCTTCCCAGCCGCGGCCGCCGTCGCGTTGCGCCTCGCGTGGCGTGTTCACGCGAAAAAACTCGAGCGGACCACTGAGCACGCTTGGAAATCAAGCATTCCAATACATGTTCATACATCGAAGTTCCCCCCAGAGTACGGTCGACACGTTTCCAAACTTCAGCCCTAATAAACCTGTACAGTAATTGTTCTAATCTTGCCGAAGAGAATTTGCAGGTGTCTTAAATTTTGCGAATTTCATCTTTAAAAATTGTGCTGCTAGGAAAACTAAGGACGAGGATATCCTTGGTTTCTAAATTGGACAATTATTGGAGAAAATATGACAAAATAACCCAATCTGCTAAAATACATGTGTTTAAATGGAAAATGTCGCCAGATGACGTCACAAGGCGGCAAGTTTTCTCACTATTTTTCTACAATTTCCCATGTTAGAAAAAAATCATGAAAAACACTGCAAACTCAGCTCATGACGCACTCTTAGATGAAGCAATAAAATTTTTGTGTGCCAATTCTCCTCTTTGAGAAGTTGAGGGTGCACACAGCTTACAGGTTATTTCACCCGATTTATTTGAACAATATTATCTCACGAAAAAGAAGTGTAAATTTGCAAATTTTAAGCTCCCATTTGGAGGCACATCGCCGGAGAACCGTAAGAACCAAATCGTCCGAAAAATGATTTATGATCTGCAGAGGCACAACAAGGCAAAGGATTCGCAAATTTGAACTTGTTTTTTTGTGAGATAATACTGTTCAAAAAAGTCGGGCAAAATTTCCTTAAACTGTGTGCACTCTCAACTTCTAAAGAGTTGAAAATTATTGAACAATCGCATTCTCAGCATACAGTAGGTTTTACCAAACTTTCTAGGAACTCCTGCAGAACCTTTCAGGACGACTCTTAAACATATTGTCTCCCTTTTATGGGCGGGGGCCTTCGATCCTTTTTCCAGTCGGGTCCGCCTCCGCCCGCCCTAAGAAATATATTTCAAGCTGGTCCGTTCATGAAGCAGCCACACAAGAGTGAATTGTTCGTGGCAATTTTATAACCCTCCTATGAAATCCGCCAATAATCAGTTCAAGTCTCATGTACCCCTAAAAATTATGCCAGAAAATACATAAGGGCGGGTCGACTTACAAGCGTGCCTGCTATTCCTCTGAACACTAGATTATTCTCTTAACAGGGGCTCAGGACAAGACATGAACGAAAATTCTATCAAGCTACCTATGAAGTAATGTAATTCTAAAAGTTAAAACTTACAAAGCTCTTTTTGCATTTTTTTTTAAAATAAAAGCTCTGGTGTAGCTTTTTCGTGTGTTGGGTGCTATCTGTTCGGCGGCTAGCGAGAAAAGACGCGCTGCACTATTGGAGCCCCTCGTGGTCGTGATGCGAATGCATCAAGTGCATCAAGTGCATCAATTCCGACTGGCATCGCAATCGCACGATAGAATCACCAATTCGGTTCGCAAGCTCCCAACCGGTTTCTAGTCCACTTCTCTTCTCTCAGACCTCCTGCACGCCGATTTCGTTTCCGGTCATAAGTCCCAACCGGAAGCCCGAGCCCAGAGGGATAACCCAGCAAACAAATTCTAAATGTCTACTTCCCAAAAACGCATATAGGACTGTACAGGAACTGGCTTCAAAAGAGATTTGCCCCCCCCCTCTCCACGATAAAAGGGGCATAAACGGTGCAAAGAGGTCTCAAGAAGCTCTACGTGATTTTTTCAAAAGTGCTGAGTGGGTCCCCAAAATTTTGCCAAAAGGGGCTCCTGCAAAGCCATGTTGCCTAAAGCTTAGATGGCGATCCCATCCATTAGCCTCCCGGGCCAGTCCACCCCTTGCCTGGAACTGTTCTTGGGAATGAAGACCTCGGCCAAGGTTTGTGATGCCGCATGCCGTAAAAAGTCCTCGAAAATGTTTTCTTTGTTTCGGGATCAAATGTTAAAGTCCTTGCGTATTCTTGAAGTGGTGTATTGCCGTAATGCACCTAAAAGTCTTTAAACTTTTTCTATTATCGTGCTTTTATTGTGGAGTCCCTCCGAATGTCCAATAGTCTTCTTGTCGGTCCGTATAATGGTTTTCGTTTTTGGCAGTAGGTAGCAGAGATAAATGTATTGAACGATGAAAGCATTTTTAAGGCATCTTTGGAGGTCTTCAACATTCTCTTGTACCTCCCTGCGTGTCCTCAAAGAATGTTGCAAGTCCATGAATTCAGCTCTAGCAAACCGTCGCTTCGTGAGCCCTGCACGCGGAGGCAAAGAGCTTTCGCATAGCTAGAATTATACTATCATTTTTTAAAATGTATTTTTAGCATGACCCGTCTTGATTTTGACCGCCACGTGAGGTCTGAGGTCACTTTTCCTGAGACCGCTCACGTTCCATTGAGTTCTCCTATAAACTATGTTTGTTTTAATCGATTGGCAATTGCATTATTCTTGTTCCTCGAGGCTAATGAGCTGTTTTTATTGTGTGTGCAGGGAAGAAAGTAGCGGTGAAAATCCTGGAAAATGTGGCGGATAACATCGAGGAAATCGAGGAGGAGTTCCTCGTGCTCCGGGACCTGAGCTTGCATGCCAACATCCCCGCTTTCTACGGTTTGTTTCTCCGGAGGGGAACTCTCCCCGAGGAGGACCAGCTATGGTTCGTCATGGAGGTAACTTTCATCGAGTTTCTTCATCAAAAGCAAACCCATATTCTGAAGAACTAACGGGATGAGGGGGGTGCGTTGAAAACTATTCACTGACCGCTTCGCGGACTAACGCCCGAGACTGCCGACAGCAGGAAGCCGTTTCATGGCCGTAAAAAACCTGCGTTACTTATGATGGATACCTGTAGACAGGTTTGGGATTATTAAGCATGGCAGGACATGCTCCATAATCATAGTTTTACACGGAATAGAAGCTAAAAGATGAGAGAGTTTATCTTTTGACTAAAATATCGTTTCTCAGATATTTTTGAGAAGCAAACGTTTTCAGAAACCATAACCAATGTTTCAATGAAGACACCCANCCCCCCCCCCCAAAAAAAAAACCTATTTTATTACATTTCACAAGCCTGAGTACTATCAGGTCAGAGTTGAAATAATTCTTCAATAATAGGCACCCTTGATTCTCAACAGCTCAGACAATAATTTTGAATTAATTAGATGTGATATTAGCTTTATTTTCTTCGCCCTTTTCATCAGACTTTCCAATGAGGGGGGCTAATTACACCCTACTAATTACCGTCCTGACATTTTCAATATCAAAGAGGAATCTCAGTCCCTCTCCTTTGAAGAACCTTTCCACTCATTCTATTGCTCCGTTATTGATTTGAAGCCTCAGGTACCTGTTTGGCAATTACTCAATGTGCCCTCCATTGAAATGAGTTAAGGGCTCAACATATAATCTCCTCTACAGCCCAAGGAATCTCTTAGGATTTAAAGACATGGTAAGAATTTCCTCCAGATATCGTAAACTCTCAAATGATATTTGTTATGAATGATTTGGTGACTCATTTGCTACAATTACCGCGGGACCGGGTAACTTTTTTACCCCGTCCGCGAAATATAGAAAAAAATAATAATGATAAAAACCTAGGCATTTAATAACAATCTACAACTTATGTAAATCAATTTTAAAATTTATTGTTTTTATTTTCTCTCGGAAGTTTTGATTAAAAATTTACAAGTTTTCTTTCACAACCCCGGTATCTGAGTAAAGAAATCCTATCAATAGAAACTTTTGTGTTCTCGACGGAGAGATTAATTATTTTACAGACAAAGAATGATCCTCGGTAAAATTATCTATCAAAGTTCGTTCAGAGCTTATTTCAAAATTTGTAAATAAGAAAATCCCCGAAAGCCTGAAATTCGTACTAATCAGAGAGTGGCACCTTTTTTTCGTACTTAAAGGATTAAGATGGCAATTTTTTTCCTGCATAGGCACATTCAGGCGGTGCAACGGACGACGATTCCCGAGCAATTTTGAAGAGTGAGAAAAGCAAGAGTGCCCTCAATTTTTAAACATGCAACATGCTCATCCGTGCAACACGAATAGTTGCATCAATGCGCCACGACCAACTCAGTGTAATATTCATACGTCGAGGATATAACCACTTTGGTTTATGGCTTAGCATTTCTGTAGGGTAACTAACATATTAACTCAGTGAAAATTTCACGAAAAAAGTCAATCAAAAAGTTTTAAAAAGTTTTCCTTAGCCTAAGAAGAGGAATAGCTAATTAAAATCTTACCAACCAGAGTCAGAATGACGTAACTATAGGCCTCGTCTTCGGCTAAGTTTTAGCCAATCGGCGAATGCGGACCCTCTCGCTTGTTTCCGTCATGGTAGACAGCCACAAATATCATTTCAAACGGGTCAAGATTTTGGAGACTTCAAAATTATGACTTTCTCCGTCATTTTGAGTCGAGAAAATCCGAATAATTATGGGGAATTCAACTCACGTGGTACTTGAGGAAACAAATTTTAAAAAAATAGGGGGCACCGACCCATGATTAATTACTCTGGTCTCGTGTCACTAACTGATAATACCCTCCTTTAGGTATGCACTCGGTTATTTGGGTGCTACAACTGACAAGTCCCGTGTATCTTTCAAGAAGTAAGAAAAGCAGGAGCGCCTTCAATTTTTGAATGTGCAACTTGCACATCCTTGGAACACGAATAGTTGCATGAAGGCGCCACAATTAACTCAGTTTGGTCTTCGTAAAGCGAGATCACTCAAATGTTTAATCTACAGCACGCACATCCAAGATTTTTTAAATGAAAGCAAATCTAAAAAGAATGAAAAGTATATATTCACTTTGATACTGCTAAGTTTCCTTAAAAATTTCGCAAATCGTTCCTAAGAAATCGGCTAGTCTCCGGACTAGGCAGTTTTGCCTACGGGGTGTAACACATAGAGACGAAGGCTCATTTTGTAAATTTCGTTTGTTTTTATAATTTTCATACTTGCTTTTAGTTCATTTGTACCCCCCTACACCTAATACTGAAACTGATCATTCAAAGTACAAAAATTAATCAACGTTAAACCTCTCCATTCTGCCGTGCTATTAAGAAAGAACGTCGTATGAACCTTCAGGCGTTACCGAATTTCCTTCGATAAATCACCAATTTTCGGAAAAATTTCCGAAGATTATTCGTCCAGTTTTTCCGATAATTTTGTTCTCAATTTCACCTAAAGTTCTTGAAAATTTCAAGGAGGAATATTTATAACGTTCTTCCAAAATAACTATTTTCTGAGAGGAAATTTGGCAACTCTCGAATGTTCGTACGGCGTTTTTCTTTAGCACGGCAGCATAAGTCTTCTCCCACACAAGAAGAATTGTAATCACAAGTATGATATAATCATTGCAAATTTTTCCAGTCATCGTAAATCAAATTCCATGAATTATTATTAAACGCAAGAATGCTTAAACATGCAACAGTCAGAGGTGCATTTTCTCTTTGTGCGTCAGGTCCTAATCCTAAGTATTGGTGTGCGCACCATTAAATTGTGCAGTCGCAGTTTTTTCCTCTTAAAAGTCAAAGCACTTTCATTTGTATTTGCACCAATTCTAAGCCCAATCGCAGAAATCACCGAAAGTAAGCGCGCTTACAGTATTTTTTAAAGACAATTCACTTTCAATTAATGCCTCTATTTACGGCTACTAATGAGTAAAAGAGAACAAAATTGGTTGAACTTTGTGTACTTTTTTAACTTTTTACCATTCTAAATGACAATTATCCACACAGAGAGCATGTGTTCGAATAATCGCGCCAAAGTCAGAGCGGAAATTGCGGCCTGCGCAAATGGAATATTAGCGCCTGCAAGACTGCCGTAATATTTCACGCATTGCGCGTACACTACGGTGAGCACTTTAATCGTCGAATTTCTAGCGATGTTGCGGTGCACTGCCTTTCCGACCTTTGTATACAGCGAGTCTGCAATCCGAGGCTTGCAGGGTTATGGAGATTATACACCCCTGGCAACAGTTGCTAAACGTGTCTTAATTTTAAAAAAGGATTCTTCAAAAAACGGTTCAAAATGAGTTCTGACTATTTCTTCAGAGCTACCCAGGTTTCATTCACACTCATACGATTTTCACATTTTCTACTGAATTTTTACAGTTATGCACTGGTGGATCGGTGACAGACCTGGTGCAAGGACTAAAAAACCGGAACGCCTGTTTGACCGAAGAACAAATCGCATATATTTTGCACGAGACTGTTCAGGTAAGTAAAATCGTAACGTTGGCTCTAGTTTTTAATTTCATCTTTAAGCACTAACAATGGATGCTTTGATTGTTTCAAATCGTTGAAAAAAAGATTTTTTCGTTACTTAATCATTAAATATGAACCCATCGGTCAGATTTTACTTACGGTGTCTTGCATCTTTCAAAATTTAGGTACGGCCCTTTATCAGGGGGAAAAAATTTGCAGATGTCTTACAACCTTTAACCACTGAATATACAATATTCTTCGATTTTGAAGGAAAACTGTTTCAAGTTTTTTGACTCGACAAGTTTTGACACCATCGCTCTCTATATTGAGAGATTTTCAAATAGCTTCAGTGAAATACTGTGCGAGCCGTGCAGTACCTATTAATAAAATTTTCTTGAAATCAATGAAACGTCGCTAAATCAAGGACAAGAAGAAGAGATACGGAGGCTTGAAGATGATAATTTTACCAAGATGAACCATTAATCAGGTATTGAATTTCATTTTTTCAGGCGTTGGTCCACTTGCACAACAACCATTGTATGCATCGAGACATCAAAGGTCACAACATACTGTTGACGGAGGAAGCCCATGTTAAATTAGTTGACTTCGGCGTCTCTTCGCATCTAGCTGCGACGATGGGCCGGAGAAATACATCCGTCGGAACACCCTATTGGATGGCGCCTGAGGTCAGTATCTCCTTACATGACGCCTCCAACGTTCAGATCACACATTTTCCATTCAATAAAAATGTTTCCTTTCAAATAAACTTACAGCAGCTGTATAAATTGGAGTGTGGGAGCACATATTTTTCTCGTGTTACTCTTGATGATTTGAATTGTGTCATCAAAATGTTACCACACGAAAGAAAATTGTTACGATTCTAAGGATGTTAACTAACCATTCAGGTAGTTATTCTAACTCTCTGCATTCTCTGAATAGAGAATTTGCAGATATCTGACATTTGATGAATTTCGTGTTTAAGTGGAAACTACTGAGTGGATTGAACACGAAGATACCCTTGGTTTATGAATTGAACAATTATTGGAGAAGATATGACAGAATGATCTAATCTGCCAAAATACACGTGTTTAAATGGGAAATGCCACCAGATGCCATCACTAGGCGGTGCATTTTCTCACTTTTATATCTATTTTTATACTATTTCCCACATCAGAAAAAAATTATAAAAAATACTGTGAAATTAGCTCTTTAAGCACTTTCAGATGAAGCAATAATAAATGTGCATGCAAATTCTCGATTACTGATACATATAAATAAACTGGTAAAAACCATCAGTGGTTTTGGATTTGAATAAGAGGTAGTGTTTTGACCGTCTGGTTCTATCGAAGAAAAAGGAGCATTTGCAAAAAAATATGACAGAGAATTTTCTGGTAAAACAGTAGACCTCAATCCTCAAGTTGATAGCATTATATAATTTGACTTTTTCCTCGTTCAAGAATAGAAATATCCAGAATTACAAAATTTCTCACAATTTTTTTCCCTTGCAACCCTGATCATCCCACCTTCGTGGAACCCCTAATCTCCCCCCGATATGAAGCTAATGAAACTAAGGGACATTTCTGATTGCAGGTGATAGCTTGCGAGCAACAGCTGGACTCGTCATACGATGCACGTTGCGACGTTTGGTCCCTGGGGATAACAGCCGTGGAGTTGGCTCAAGGTGATCCCCCCTTGTCAGAGCTGCATCCAATGAGAGCTCTATTTCAAATCCCTCGCAATCCACCCCCACAACTTACCAGGCCAGACTGCCCGCAACTTGCTGACTTTGTAGCCGAGTGTTTAATGAAGGATCTGGAACAACGACCCTTTGCCAAAGAGCTTTTGCGACACCCTTTGCTCAGAAAAGGAGCCGCCTGCGCTCAGAAGGTAAGAATTATTTCAAAACGATTACTTGATTAAGGTTTCTGGATTGAGATGAATAGCTATGATCATTGGGTATTGCCTATCCTGCCTAACGTGAGGTTAGTTTTACAAAAAAAAATCGTGCTATTGTGAAACCAGCCGCAACAAAATTGAAGTCAGTTTCAAGCTCTATCACCCACAATGAGGTTTCGACTTTTTTGTCCCTCCTCTCGTTATTTAGAAATAAAATGGTATCAAATCAATTGACCATCTGATAAACGAGGAATCAGGGCCGGATGTAGGGGGTGGCCATGATCCACCTGATGGGCCCTAGGGCCTTATGGGCCTCGGCCCATGGCGCATGGCGGCAAATGTTGCCATTTTTCAAATGTAGGTATAAAAAAAAATCGGATTCCGAAAAAAAAAATTAAAAACGAGAAAAGGCGACAAAATCTCTCATTTCCTGACAGTTAAAGTATAGTAATTTCTAATTTGTTCGGCTTTCGGCGATACAAGAGACAGCGCCTTTCATTAATCTAGTTAAGAGAGAGAAACCAAACACGCAATTTGGCCTGGAGCGGCGTGGCGCAAAGAGCAATAATGACGAGGACTTGAGATGAAAAGGAGAAGTCCTCGGCGCGCCAGTTAGCATGAAACACATATTAGCGCCTACAAGACTCCATGAATACTTCACCCATTGCGTCAAACGTAGTGCGGTCAGCAGCGGTTGGCGTGAAACTCACAGTGCCTACAAGACTGCATGAATACTTCACGCATTGCGCAAAAAACAGTGCGGTCAACAGCGGTCGGCGTGAAACGCATAGCGCCTACGAGACTGTAGGGATACTTCACGCATTGCGCTAAACACAGTGCGATTGGCGCGGTGGCGAAAATTAAAATTATTAAACCACATTTATGTTTATTCTTTCATGATTTTTTTCGTTCATTTCTTATAAATGAAAGACCTTGTCCACGCAGAGATAGGTTTACGGAACTTAACTTTCGCGCTAAGTTCTGTGAACTTTGGCTAGTGTTGACAGGGTTTTCACAAAAAATGTGCCCAACTCGAGTAAATGCGTCTTACCTATGCATCCCTCCGCCTCCGGCACGTTCACTTGATTTCAGTGATTTCATTTGTTCAAGTGATTTCCATTATACTACTCTACATTTGTCTTGTTCAATGTTAAAGAATGAAATATTTTATGTCGAGCTAATCTCGTTTTTATACTCAACTTGTACGTCGCAAGTACAGTTTACTGATAGCTTGTGTGAATTTTTGAAGCTTATGTTTCAATCTTTAACTTTTTACTACCTACCCACTCATCCTGAAACAGCAAAGTAATCACCTGTAGAGAGATTATCATAAAGAATGTATGGAACTAAATAATCTTGAAAAGCTGAAATGAAGTATCTGAAAACTTTGCAGGCTAATTTCAAATCTTACAACTGGCAGACTGGACGGTAAACTTTTTATTTTCTCTTTTTGCATGTTCAATTATTCATAGCGTGGGGAAAAAATGCATGAACGAAAAAGACACTTATTAATTTGAAGAAAACAGACTAGTTACGTTGAAAATCTGTACAATTTTTTTTTCAGGCTCGAAATGAATTAAAGGTGGAAATCCAGCGGCAAAGAAAAGATGGACGATGTCATAGACAAGCAGAGGTAACAACCAAACACGGAAAGCTCAAGACAGAACGAAAAGCTCAACCGAAGAAAATATATTTTGATGATTTAGCTGCTCTTGACGTTTTATCAGAGGTAAGTAAAATGTCTCTAGAATAGACAAATTCTTTATAAAAAAAATTGATCAGATTTATTTTTCACTTTTCAAATGAAATATTGACTAATTAAGTCATTCAGTCCGAAAATGTAAAATTTAGTCATAATTTTGGAATCCTCTGAGTTACCAGTCAAACTTTTTAAATCTGATAACTCTTTTTTTTCTAAAGTCTGACGGTCTCACGGATCAGTTGATGGTTGCACGGACAAGCGAGTCGAGCATTATATGACGAACTTTTCATCTTGAGAACGTAAGTTGAAAGATGGAAAATCACTTCAACCTTATTAGACAATGTTAGAACGGTATAATGAGGTTAAAAATTAGGTTCTCTTATTCAATTTTTACAGAGCTTATCTTGTAACTAGTTCATTTCAAAGTGAGAAAGTGGAAAAGGGTGAGTTATGTAGGTTCCCTAATCAACCAGAGGAAGCTTTTTGCAACCGCCTAACATCAGAAAGCAGTCAATAAAATATGTTGATCAATATATCGTCACCTTCCAGGCAAAGTATCACAAGCGCCATGCGACGTTTAAAAATTTCCGCCGCCATTTTATTTTTTTACTGAGAAATTGTTGGTTGAATCTGTTCGAAAATTTCACTAAATTTTATCGGCAGAACAAAGAAAATTCGGTGTAATTTTCGGACAGGTTCGTTGAAGAATTTCTCTGTAAAAAAATATAATGGCGGCGGAAATTTTTAAACGTCGCATGGCGCTTGTAATACTTTGCCTGGAAGGTGACGATATTAAGTGACTTTAGACCGATAATTGGTAGATAGTAGGCTGTAGATATGTAGAGCGTAGACTTTAGGCTGATTATCTCAACCCGCAACTCTACTGCGTAGATAGGTATTTTAATTGAAAATCTGTCGGCTTTGCAGTATTTTTTTGCGCACAAGATCAGTCAAACCGAAGTAACTGGCTGCTTGTTATCCTTAAAACTGAACTATCAAAGTTGAATTTTAAAAATCATCTCTTTAGCTGTCAAAGTTGTCATTCATCTAACCGGCACTGACAAAAAGCAATAGGAGAACCAATGCATATTTTAACAGTCTTTTGTTACACATGCCTAGGTGTGCAATATTGTTTTTTCCACAAACTTTGCATCAAATCTCAAATTTGGGTGAGGTTTTTTTTTTCACCAACGTTCCTTTCTTTTTACACAGGAAAATATAGTTCAACAATTACAACATAGATATGAAGCAGATACAATTTACACTTATATTGGAGATATTTTAGTGGCTGTGAATCCTTTTACAAGACTTGGACTTTACACGCCAGCTGTAAGTATTTTGAATCAACAAATATAGGTACCTTTACTTTAAAAAAAGAGAATTTTCGTAATCTGATAAGAGAGTATCCCTTGACTACTACGTCGTCCAATCCCTGTGGCTCTGTAATTCTGAAAAACCAGGGTCATTCTGAGTTTTTCAAGAGAGCTTATGAAAGGCATTCATAGTTCCACCATAGCATACGGAAATTAAACCGAATTGTCTGTACAAAAAGTAGTTAAAAAAATTCGAAAGATTGCAGACTGGTATACTGAACTTAAAGTGTTGTAAATTATTTTCTTTTTTATTCTTTAATATTCTTTCAATAGAACGCAAAAAGCCTAAGGTCACTGGCCTGGATACCTATAAGTTATGCTCCATTTAAAAATTTAGAAACATTGAAGGTTCATCAAAAGACTATTTTAAACTGCAAAAGAAAATTTGGAGAGCAAAAAAACTCACAGAAACGGTGTAGGAAGATGGCTGAAATATCTTGCCTAGAAGTTCACAGCATTGTGAACGAAGTCAGATGTCGCAACTTCATGGAAATTTTTGCACTTATTAATACAAATAAGTGAAGAACTAACACATGGGCTTTTCAGGCAACATTTTTTTCCTTTTTTCAGTAAATTTTCAAATGATAGTTAAGTAGGCACCAATATACTTGAAATTATGGTTTTTTCTTGACTACATGATCTCCATCACGTATTCTCTGAACTGTATTGGTCATTTGAAGGTGTTATTGTTAGAGGGATTTGGAACTCATCAAACATGGTTATAAAGCTGGGAACGATAATTTATTCATGATGATTCAATGAACGGAACAACGAGAGGACAAAAAAAAAAAACTTGAAGAACATAGAAGAGAGAGAAGCGTCACACTAGGGGGCAGCACCTTACGGTGGGTTGGTTTCGCACAATGTTGCTAACTTGTACACATAATATTCATGAATAACAACAGGTGTGATCAAAAATACTTTAAGAATTTTAAAATCTGTCATTTACTTACTCTATTAGACAATGTTCTGATTGCTTGTAATCATATCAAGATTTTTGCTTTGTTAAGACAGGTTAAAAAGATAACCAACAACTTAAAAACTCCAATTTAGATGTCCAATGGTGACAAGTACTCAACTTTTGTCTTTATATTTTCAGGAACAAAAGAAATATTGCGGTCAAGCTCGTTCGCTAAATCCTCCACACATATTTGCGGTAGCCGATGCTGCTCATCAAGCACTGATACATCAACGACTCAACCAAAGCATTGTGATAAGTGGTGAAAGTGGTGCCGGCAAGACAGAAAGTGGAAATTTGCTGTTGAAGCAGTTAGTTTTTTTAGGCAAGGTGTGTTGAGGCTAATCAGCTCTGGCAATCTATGATTGGTACAGTTAATTATTTTAAGTAGAATTCAGAATTTCTTAAAAGTGAACATTCACAGGGAAAAACACTAGTTTGTCGATATAATTTCACCATCATAGGTACTTGTAAGTATACAATTTTATAAAGAGCCGTAACACCCAAAATTTTGAAAAACTTCTCCTTAGGAATTTACTCCCAATGAATAAGCAAATTAGGTTGTAAATGCTTCTGCAGTTTAGTTGGTTCTACTGCAGGACATTTTTTTCAAGGGGATTCTATTTTCTGGTGCTTTAAAAAAGGTCCCATCTCAGGGCGATAGTGTATTCAAGGCGATGAACATTTTTTAATTTGATTTGTTACATCCAAGCTAGCAAATAGTATTGTGGAACAAAGCATGTGTTATGTCACACAATACTATGGGCTTTGTTTTCAAAGTATACATACCGAGATGATATGTTTCAGGAAAGAATTCTGGGCAATTGAACAATCCTCATTAACAAGCAAAAATATCAGGATAAGCCTGAAAAGTTGCCGTTAATTTCGAGAGAGAGCCATCTTTTTTCTATCTTTCCTCCTGCTTCAGCCCCGGTTGTCAGTAAAATATTTATCTCCTGTGTATCTTGCTTGGGTTGTTTCAGTATTTATCTTAACATTTTATCTATTTTAGAAAATTCCTCTCATGAATCTGTCTGAAATTTCTTGTGATTTTTCCTTATAAAAGATTGTGAAGAAGTGAACGAAGACTCCAAAATTTTTGGACAAATCGGTGCAACACTTCTCCCATGAATTAATGAATTGTTCATAGAAATACTGGAGCAATGCAGTCAAGACGCATTCCTTTGTGAAAGAGACGATGAAATGTCTGGTTTGTCTCTAGATTTACGCATTGTCTTTAAACACAATTTATATAAAACTCTGCAATTTGAAAAAGTGGAGTTGTTCTCTTTTTTGAATTGTAAACTTAATTGCGTTTGAGGCTCAGCACTAGAAATTGAAATTTTGCCATTGGAACTTTACTTGATCTATTGAAACATTCACAGGCGCCAAATGGTAATTTAGAAGAGAGAATATTACAAATGAACCCCCTGATGGAGGCTTTCGGAAATGCTCAAACCGGTATCAACGCAAACTCATCCAGGTTTGGTAAATTTTTAGAGCTAAGTTTGACAAGGAGTGGGAGAGTAACGGGTGCTAGAGTATCTGTATACTTATTGGAGCAGTCACGCGTTGTACAAAGATCACAGTAAGTCCATAAATTCACTTGCAAACTTTCCCTCCTCTTTTCTTCCTCTTCATATTTAAAAGGCTGAATGAAATTTAAGAAGCTTTAGGGTTTGTGGAAAATTAAAATTATGTTGTTCAGTAATTATGAAAGAATTAGTCAATAGCATATCAACCGATAACCTACTCAAATAATTTTTTGCTTTTTAGGTGAATGGAAAAAACTACAAAAAACTTAATTGAAGCAATTAGATATTCTCAGAGATTCATTAAATCAGTTAATTTTAGAATTTCAATCTAAAATGTGTTGAATCTTATCATGCATTAAATGACACAATGTTTAGACAACTACATATATTCCTCTGTTAGTAATTTTAGATTTTTGATGCTGATGCTTTCATAGGGAAGTGGTCTTTAAATATGGGGAGAGAGACAAATGAAGAATCAAAGATAGAAAAAAAAAGAGATAAAATTTATTAGTTTTCATTCTCACAAGTTAACTAACTCCTCACAAGTGCGTTATCATCAAAAGTCTAAAATTGCTAAACATGGATTCATGATCACATTTGAGCACTACAATTCAAATCAGCCGAGTCAGTCAATCTCACAGTCCTAAACACTCGGAGGTAAAATAGATTTCATTCAAATGCCATAAGCCCAGTAATATTGAAACAATTTTGTACATCAACAAAATGTACTTATTGATGCGAGCAGAGATTTACCATGTTGCGATTGGAGACTTGTATTATTCAACTTTACCCATCGATATGTCAGGTTTCTTATTTTCTTTCGATTGGTCTTCATCTTGTAATATTGACTATTTATTGAATTTGTTTTTGTGTCCATCAGGAGTGAACGAAATTTCCACATATTTTATTACCTCTATGATGGTATTTATAACGACAATAGAATGAAAGAATTTCATTTAGATCCAGACTTAAGATTGCAACATTCAGTTTTAACCAATGATAAACAGGATGCTATGACTCGGAAGGTATGTGTATCACATTTGTGTCCTTCAATCTCTAGAAAGTTTTCTTTCTGATTGAAAAATTTTAGAGGGATCTGATTTATGGGACTCACCTTTTGCAACTTTTGCAGAAATGCTCCCTAAACAAAAAACCCCTCTCTGCCGAGAACAAAATGAACATTAGGAGAAACCACATTTCTCTCTAAGTAATTAGAAGACCGATGCCCTGATTATTATTTAGTGAATTCCAGTGAAACGCACTTCTGGAGAGCGAATCCTCACTAATTATCCATTTGTGTGTAAAAATAAAAACAACTTCTTCTTCTTCTTCTTTTTTTTTTTTTTTTGTTCTGTTCAGTAAAATGAAAGAGTTGCCCAGCATAAACTCCATCTGATAAATTTTTAGAGAAAAACTTTCATTATCCCACAATTTGCAACTTTTCACAGCAGTATAATTTAAAATTTTATAAAAAATGTATTTTATCTGTTTTTCAGAACAATATTGAAAAATTTGAACAAATAAAGTCAGCATTCAAAGTCATCGGCTTTCAAGCTGAAGAAACAAACTCAATTTATAAAGTACTCGCAGCGATACTTCATTTAGGTGACCTGGAATTTGGTGAAGTCATCTCGGATGACAACACTGATAATAAAAGTAGAATTATTGACCTGGCTCCGCTTCATAGAGGTAAGTCTTACCATCAAAAAATTTGGTTTCAAAAATTTCTATTCTTATGGAAGAAAAAGCAGATTGTATTGCAGCAGGGTCTCAATAATATCGGTGATGATACAGACTATAGGCACTGTAGTTGATCAAAAACTGTAAAAAATCCAAAATTGAGACGCACATGTTGAAAAAATATGATATTAGAAAAAACGCTATTTTTGAAAAAACTCGATGAAAACTCAGAAAATTACTTAAAAACACCTATTATTATAAGAAATTAGTAAGTTTCACATTTTTTAAACAAGTGGAGGAAAAATTCAAAAAATGTATGGAAATTGCTCAACATTTGTCCACTGTTCTGTCAGTTCAACCAACAAAACATGCCAGAAAAATCTCTTGGGTTTGTAACTAGTAACTAGCATTACAGATGATTGAGAATATACTGTACCTAGATGGAAAAATTAATTCTAGTGCTCAACACTGAAATTTAAAAAAAAAGTTTAAAAACGATTTCAAGAAAAAGAATTTCCACTTAAGGGTCAGTCAGCTCAAAATAATGAATTTATAAAAAATCAAAATTAAGCTTTTCTTAAGTGACTGATGTTAGGGTTATTAATTCAGTTTTAATTTTTATTTTTAGCATCGAATCTGCTCGGCATCGAGGCAGGAGATCTATCTGATAGTTTAACAGCAAACACTGTTGTAACCAGGGGTGAAACTATCACCCGGAACAACTCTGTCATCGAAGCTTGCGCAACACGAGATGCTCTCGCAAAAGCATTATACAGTAGATTATTTGACTGGCTAGTCAACTCAATAAATAGTTTACTTACTTTCAATTCCCGGTAAGACTTAAACTGAAAAGTTCACTAATAAACACAGGATACGTTGTAAGATCAAAAAGAATCTCAATGAAATAATGTACTTTAAATTTACGGAATTATTTAAATCTTTTCTACCAGCAGTGACACCTGAAAAACACTGTACAACCGATAACAACGGTGGAACTGCAAAAACACGTATCTTGGTCTGCAACACTGTACCAAAACTTCCTGCCATGGTTTATTTTTTCAATCAAAAATACTCAAAGTCATATATTGGAAACCTTGATTCATTTCATTTGTGTGGAAAATAGGTATGATATTCTATGAAAATTTCAAGCAATACCTAGTATCTGTTCTTTCTCATTTAAGAAAATAAAATGGGAAGAGAAATTTTTAAAAATGGCAATGGAAGTACGTGTCTCTGCAGTTTCACCATGGATAAACCTTGAGAGTCAAAACTAAAAAAGGGGGGGAGAGAGAGAGAGAGAGAGCTTAGTGTAATTAAAATGAACCATTTAACTATATTGTCTAAAATTTGGATGCTTCGGTAATTAAACATGAAAATTTGTGAAATTGAAAAAAAAAAAAAACTAAAGTTACTTAGTAGCTCTTTAAAAAGTAAAATATTCATGGTTATTTTGATGTGTGTCTTAGGGATGAGCCTCTGGTGATTGGTCTGTTGGATATCTTTGGATTTGAAAATTTTGCCAGGAACTCCTTTGAGCAATTGTGCATCAACATAGCTAACGAACAAATCCAGTTTTATTTTAATCAGCATATATTCACCTGGGAGCAGCAGGTTAGTTGATTCAGAGACATCTAAGTTTTGTTGTAGAATCTATCTAACAAGAAAAAGCGGTCAGGTCACAAGTTTGAAAAATCATTTGTACGGTCCTTGGTATGGCCAGTTGGATGTTCTTTAAGCTCGGGTTTTTTTTGCAAATTGTTTGAACGCTCTGCTAGCCAACTTTAATCGATTGTATGCATGAGGACCAAAATCTACTGGAACGTTTCAAAATGGATAATGGAACATTTTCCTGGAATGAGGCAGTTCGGCTGGTGAGGGATTGGCTTAAAAGCTATTGCTATCAAATTTGGTTGGCCATAAGAAAAAAATTCTCTATTCTTCTTGTCGAAAAAAATTCCTCAGTTTACGGTGTATATAAAAACTACTTGAGTATTACAATTATTTTGAAACGTTGCCATTGATTTACGTCTCCATTCTAAAAATCTATCAATTGTGTAGAAGCAGGGAAAAATCCGCAGATGCCGACGAACAGTGGAAACTCCTAATTTTGTTTCTAGTAGGTGAATTTTTCACATTCAATTTATCGATAGCTTAGGTCAAAAAAAGTGTCTTTTAATGTAAGAATGTAAATTTCAGCTCATCTCACATTATTTTGTTTAAAAAAAAGAAAAAAAATCAAAGTTTTTCTTTATTACCTGTGATTTTTTTCACTTCTTCTGAGATACTCATAGATACTTTCATGTAAATACCTTGATAGCTTCCTTTAGAAAGGATGAAAAATCAATGAATATTTTCAATTGTTTTGATGGAGCTACACATTTTTCAAGTTTACCCATCGTCATAATCCAGTGATTAAACTCTGTAACAGCATAATAATTCTGTTCACGGAGAATACTCAAACTAATTATTCTTTATCTAATAACTTACATCCACTTTTTTGCCACTTTTTCAGGAGTACATAGCAGAAGGTATTCCTGTGGATCTAGTTGAATTTACTGATAATAGACCAGTTTTAGATATGCTTCTGAGCAGGCCAATAGGATTACTAGCTCTTCTTGATGAAGAAAGTCGGTTTCCTCGGTCTACTGATCGTTCGCTCATAGGTGAGGGGCAATTTATCCTGAATATTATGGACTGCCTTCAACTGTCAATTATTTTAATATATCCAATGGAAATAAAAATCCATTCCAACATATTTCCTAATGAAAGGGAACACTCGGGGTTAATGCGACAACTTTCCCGCCGAGTTCTTAAAGTATTTTCTAATCCTCAAGCTGATTTTATGACTGGAGATGGGAAACTAAACATTTGTGCTTGCAGGAAAATTTTTCAGGAGAGCAATTTTCAACAAGTATGGTTAAAAAATTGTTAAAGTTTGTGACAAAAGGGTATCCCAGGATAAGGGCACCAAAATGCCCTTCCTCACGGATTTTGAATTTAACGGTCTAAACCCCTTCAGGAGGTCCTAAAAACATGGTTTTGGGCAATTTTAACCTCCTGACCCCAACCACCCCCCCTCCAGCCCCGAAAAACCCATTTTTCGGGGAATTTTGGGGTATTTTCACGTTTTATTTCATATCTCCCGCGTTTTTCAATGAAAATGCACCAAAATTTCACGAAATGTACATCAGGGCAATCACATTCTTGGGTAAAAAAATCAAATTTATCGAAATGTATTTAGACTCCGAAAAAAATTCGTGAAAATCGTAAATTTTCAATTTTTTTCAGATTTTAGCGGTTTTAAAAAAAATGAGGACACATACATTTTTTTTTATTGCCTTAAAATGTAGGTAATATACCCAGTTGTTACCAAAAAAAATTTCAAGCCTTCACGCGTGGTGCGTCCCACCGAAAAAATAGTTTTTTTGGCGCCAAAACGGTCAAAATGGCTCTTTTGGCAACGGTTTACTCGCACGCTATCAAGATAGTAATACTAAAATCTCTAATTTTTGGTTTCAATGTTTCAAGAAGCATGCCCTAGTATCGTCAGAAAAGGTTTCAAGTCGATCGAGTCCTTACGCCCCACGTAAAGTACCGGTTTTTGGCGCCAAAATGGTCAACATTCCTATTTCAGAAGAGGTTACTCGCCGTAGGGTGGCCCTTATTTTTGACTTTACGGAATTTAAAGTGCAGAGCCCTGCAAATGGTTTCATTTGATGAGAAAATAACCGGGAAAAAATAAAAATGGAGAAAAAAATATTTTAAAACGCGCCTCAAAGAGCCTAAAGTTCCGAGCGTGGCGTGCGAAGACGCGTTTTTTCGTCATTTTGCGAATTTTTTTTCTCCCGTTGAAATGTTTCTACGGCTTTGAAATTTTTGTAGGTAACATACTTTTTAGAGTACTTTACGAGAAAAATAATGAAATTTACCTCGCCCATTACACATCATGCGATTTCGTCGATTGTTCATAAACATTCTCCCGGCACAGTTTGCCTGAACGAGTTTTGGCAGCCAAACGAGGCCACTTTGAAGGGGAAATGGGGTATTTTAAAAGTAGCGAGGTAAATGTTGTTATTTTTTTCGTGAATTACTATAAAATATGTGATACCTACTTCAGAAAATTTCAAAACCGAAGCAACAATTTAAAGGTGGAAAAAAGACACGCCGCGCGCCGTGCGGGTAGATTGTAAGGGAAAATCGGCAAAATCGCACGACATGGCCTCTTTGATGAGGTAAAAAGGGCATTTTAAATTGGGCGAGGTAAATTTCATTATTTTTCTCGTAAAGTACTCTAAAAAGTATGTTACCTACAAAAATTTCAAAGCCGTAGAAACATTTCAACGGGAGAAAAAAAATTCGCAAAATGACGAAAAAACGCGTCTTCGCACGCCACGCTCGGAACTTTAGGCTCTTTGAGGCGCGTTTTAAAATATTTTTTTCTCCATTGTTATTTTTTCCCAGTTATTTTCTCATCAAATGAAACCATTTGCAGGGCTCTGCACTTTAAATTCCGTAAAGTCAAAAATAAGGGCCACCCTACGGCGAGTAACCTCTTCTGAAATAGGAATGTTGACCATTTTGGCGCCAAAAACCGGTACTTTACGTGGGGCGTAAGGACTCGATCGACTTGAAACCTTTTCTGACGATACTAGGGCATGCTTCTTGAAACATTGAAACCAAAAATTAGAGATTTTAGTGTTACTATCTTGATAGCGTGCGAGTAAACCGTTGCCAAAAGAGCCATTTTGACCGTTTTGGCGCCAAAAAAACTATTTTTTCGGTGGGACGCACCACGCGTGAAGGCTTGAAATTTTTTTTGGTAACAACTGGGTATATTACCTACATTTTAAGGCAATAAAAAAAAATGTATGTGTCCTCATTTTTTTTAAAACCGCTAAAATCTGAAAAAAATTGAAAATTTACGATTTTCACGAATTTTTTTCGGAGTCTAAATATATTTCGATAAATTTGATTTTTTTACCCAAGAATGTGATTGCCCTGATGTACATTTGGTGAAATTTTGGTGCATTTTCATTGAAAAACGCGGGAGATATGAAATAAAACGTGAAAATACCCCAAAATTCCCCGAAAAATGGGTTTTTCGGGGCTGGAGGGGGGGTGGTTGGGGTCAGGAGGTTAAAATTGCCCAAAACCATGTTTTTAGGACCTCCTGAAGGGGTTTAGACCGTTAAATTCAAAATCCGTGAGGAAGGGCATTTTGGTGCCCTTATCCTGGGATACCCTTTGATTCTCTGGTTTCTCATAGAATGAGTTTCAAACCATTTTGCTAATTTTCACGCCAAAGGAGAGCTCAAGTTGCATTTTAATCCAACAATTTAGCATCAGAAACATGGAAAATGAAAATAAATAGGCTTTATATAAACCTTCCTATGTGTTTGTGAAGATCACTCTTGTAAAAAATGCTACGTAGGCATTCTATATTTAGTGTATTTTACCAATTTTTTTACTATATTTTTTTTTTTGTACATTTTATGTCATGTGCTACTATAGGGTGGGCTTATTTTTATTGTAAATTTTTATTCAACGATTCACTAGGTACACATGATTACTGTACAAAGGAACATCTCCAAGAAAGAAGAAGAAATGGAACAAAAATTTTGTCAATTGTCTCAATAGATCAACTCTCGATTAAAACGGTACTGATACAGTTATTTCAGCTGATTTTTTTTTCTTTAATTCTAGATAAATTTCATGGCAACATTAAGAGCAAACTGTATATTCAGCCCAAGTCCAACGCCTTGTGTTTCGGTGTTTACCATTTTGCTGGAAGAGTAATATACCAAGCTGAAGGATTTCTGGACAAAAATCGGCACTTCCTAGCCCCTGAACTCATCCAATTACTGCGAGGCTCACATATTGAGACAGTTCGTTTCCTCTTTCAGTGCCCCATCACCAAAACTGGGAACTTATACTCTCCCAACTCTACTCCTATTATACCTCTTAATTCTTCGCCAGTAAGTATCATTTCTTTTCGCCTTAAATTTGTAAATTTAGAGGAGTAATTTTTCAATGCATGCCCTTGTGAAATGGCAGGGGTGCAGAGAGTTTCATTAACATTCCAATGGTATCTTGTCAGCAAGCATTTTTGTCTGATAATATAGCTTTTGGATGACCCTCGTACTCAAAATTCAAAGGTACGTTCAAGGCAATTTAGGGATAAAAACATAAAAATAGGCATCACTTGATGCTAAACAATGTAAACTTTGCACCTCAGCCCCAGAATCAGTTTTGAGAACTCAAGGCATAATTTTTAGTAGAGGCGTGTCTCTAAGTTTCACTCCAGTGAAATTTGTCGAATTCCAGGAACAGAGCCCCTAAAGATAAAAGTAAAAGATTGTCTCTGCCTTTTTATAGAAACGTCTTGATGATAAGATCAAGAAAATCTTATTTATAAAAAATGTTCTCATTTTTGCAGAACTGTGATAGTGTTATGGGTCTTGCATCCCAGTCACGAGCTCAACAAACGGCTGCTACTTACTTCCGGTACTCTCTCATGGAGCTGCTCCAAAAAATGGTTGCTGGAGCACCACAGTTCGTCAGATGCATAAAACCAAACGATAATCGTCAAGCAAAATTATTTGACTCTGTTAAAGTGATTAAACAATTACGATATACGGGTGTTCTGGAGACAATCAAAATAAGACAGCATGGATTTTCTCACAGAATTTTGTTCGCAGAATTCTTAAAAAGGCAAGCAGAAATTTCTTTCTATTTTATTTTATGCTCTCATTCAGTAGGTAGGGGAGAGAGGGAGAGAGAGAAAGAGAGAGAGAAAATGTTTTAAATAGAATAAAACAAATGGACTGCATGTATAATGCAACAAATGCATTAAAATCTTTAATAAGTCAGAGATCAGTGTTAAAAGTTTTTACTAGTCTGTAAGGTCAAATTCCTTGCTTCCAATAAAATAGAAGTAAAAAGCATCAAATTCATTAACAAGGAGCAGGTAAATACATTGATGATCCTTCGTTTTACTTACTTATTTTCATGCCTCTTTTTTCATTCTATTTACCATTTGAATTACTCGTTTTTTTTCCATTTAGGTATTGTTTCTTAGCATTTAGTTTTAACGAAAGGGTTGCCGCAACGAAAGAAAACTGTAGACTTTTGCTGAGTCGTCTGAAAATGGATGGATGGGCTCTTGGGAAGACAAAAGTTTTCTTGAAGTACTATCATATCGAATATCTTTCAAAACTATACGAGGACCAGGTATTTTTTTGTTTAAAATTCATTAATATAGCATTTTTAAATTTCTTTCCAAAGCTCATTTTGCGCACAGCTACATCGAGGTTTCATCTCTTGCTTTGTTTCAATACTTTTTAATTCAATATGAGGAAGTCTTCAAATGACTGACATGTACAAATTCTAAGATAAAAACAAAAAAAAGGCTCTCCTTCCAAAGGAGCAAATTGAGTAAGGGAATGTTGGAGAATTGAGTTTGTCAAAAAGCTGGATACATATATATTTCCACAAGATTTTGTCAAATCCATCTATTATTAAGTCACTTTTCAACTTGGTTTTTCTCAAGATTTGCAGGTATTAAATTCAATTTTAAAAACTCATAGTCCTTTATAGAGCGTAAAGATCATTGTATGAAATAATACAAATATTCGACTGGTACTAAATCTCTCAGTTTTCCATGCAAGGCCCCTCCTTCTTGAAAGAGAGGGTAAAAGTAGAGGGGACGGCTTGCAAGAATAAGATTTTTATCTTCCATTACTGGTAATTGATTACAAGAATGTCTGAAATAAGAAAACAAATATCATGCAAAGAGTGCTGGATGAATTAAACTGAATTTAGAACTAATAATTTTGCAGGAATTATAAATTCAAAGAAAAACTCTTACTACACAAATATATTATTCATTTCCAGATACGAAAAATAGTTTTAGTACAAAGCTGCGTAAGGAGGTGGCTCGCCAGGACAAAGTATAAGAGATTGCGCAAAGAGATGTCATCAAGCGTGCTAACACTGCAAAGATATGTTCGCGGGTGGATAACGAGGAAGAAAATCAAGAAAGAAACAATGAAACGAAACCAAAACAACAGAAATGCATGTTCAGAGCAGTTGAAGGAAATCAACCAAAATCAACAACAACTCCAGCGGCAAAAGGCCAAGAAAGCCAAGCTACCCAAGGAGAGTCAAAAAGAGAATAGTGCTGCAGTAATAATTCAAAGTCGTAAGTTTAGTTTCTTGTAACAGCTTCGAATCTTTCAGTTCATTTATAATTCCTATTTTGCTAAGGTTCATAAATTCTATTTTATATTCTGTTCTCATTTTCTATTTTTCTATTTACATCCATTAAGAATTATTGTAGCCTTCTTATTCCAAAATAATTATTTTCTCGTGATGACTGTTAAATGACAGTTCATTAAATATGCAACACTAAATTTCAGGTTTTTTGACCTCTCTTATATTTTTCTAAAAGTAAAAAGAAAAAGTTGTTAAGTTCTCATAGATCTCTCCTCTTTCCCCTGGAGCGTTATTTATATTATGAATGGCCGCTGAGCTCAGTTTCTGAGAAACTTATAGGAGGGAAATTTTTTCAGAAGTCAGTACCTGCTCATTTAAATTCAGCAGACTTACACTCTAAAACTTTGCCAATTTTTTTTTTCTGTTTAATTTATTCATGTCTGACTTTTTTTTTTGAACCATGGTAGGTATATATATCGTATCATATTCTTTAACCTTAGATTCCATTTCAATTCAGTAATTTTATCTTATTTTAATCTGCCTCCACAAATTTTATGAAGTCTTTGCCACAGTTCCAAGTAAACTTTAACTGCTTGTTCATAATGAATTTTCAATGTTCCACCTCTAGATTTCCGAGGTTATACCATACGCAAACAATGGGGTCAACAGCAGCAGGCTAAAAAACAAAAGAGGGCACCACCTCCACCCGAGGTTAGTTGTTTTTATTATACGTATTATTACAAACCTTTTGGCTCTATTTTGTTTATTCAGTGAAAAACTGACTCATATTTTTCCATGATATTTTTAGAGAATCTGTGACCAATTACAGAAACAGGTCAACTTTTCAGATTTAGAAGAGTGACTTCTGTGAAGTTGAGGTAAAAAATTAGACTTTAAGTTTCTGGTGAAGAATACTGCACACTACCCTAAGGATAAATTTCCAGCATGTTGGTGTATTTTTTTTATATTTTAGATAGAGCATAAATTTGCATTATTATCTGGTAATTTTGAGCCGTGTGTGTAAACATGGCACATTTAAACGTAAAGTAAGTTGCCACAAATGCCTTTTGAACTTCAAACCTCAAATTGTCGTGACTCTGGCTAATTTAAAATTTCCCGTGTTTTGTGAGCTAAATTTTTCGAACTAATCTCACTACACAGAAAAAAATAATGTTGAATTAACATTCTGGGTGTATAAAATAACCTGCATGACAATAACCTTGGAATGACATTTGAGAATATTTTTTTTTTTTGTGTAAGCAGTAGCTTCAATATTGCAATTTTTAATTTATCGCACTCAGGTTACATTAATAAACATTTCTGGTTATTCAGCTCCAAAATAATATACATTAAAGAGGTTGCACTGTCGGAAACCAAGATCTATATGTTTTGCTAGTTTTATTATCAGTTTTCAAGTTTACATTGAAAATTTTCGGCTATAATGAGTTTCATGATTGTATCAGGGTTCAAGACGCCTTGAAAATCCTAGAACACAAACTTTAATTTTTTTCAAATTTTTAATCCCATGAATGTACAATATAAAGGGTTTGCCTAAAATGCACTCAAAAGTCCTTGTATTTTGCATAATCTGATTTCTTCATTGTAACTATTTAAATTGTTTTTTCTTTTCTTTTTTTATGAAATCTTCCTCTAAATCCTCTTTTTTCTATCTTCTGAAATAATTAAAATATTGCTGTCCTTACATCTGTAACATTTGCCCCTTTATTTAAAAGTAACAAAGAACTAAGCTATAGGAAGAGGAAATTCTCTCTTTATGCATTTTTCAATGCCTCTAAATATTTGAAAGTCTTGATTGATTTTATTTTTGAAACGCTGTCATGAATCGTGCATTTAAGTATCTGACTGCATTTACTGTAATACTCTTGTGAATCTTTGAGGCTTAAAGCTAAAAGTGTTATCCTTGTGAATATATTTTTGTATTAATGATATTTCTGCAGAAAATCACCTCTGAACTTGTCTTGTCATTCTTAAAATTTCTTTTCTTTTAATGCAGAAAATCTCACCTCACAAACAGAAAGCGCATCCACCCCTGAAACAAAAATCCGACCAACAGTCGGAACTCATATCTCTTTCGCAGAATGTAAGTTTTAAATCCGGCTTATAATAATGTTTAATCTAACCAGACAAATTATGAAAATTCTTATTTTGAAAAATGAAAATAAAAGCAAGATAAAAAAAAAAATTGAAAACTTTAAGTAAAGAATAATAATCCACTCAAAGTATTGAAAAGTTTTCCTAGATATTTAATTTTTTTAAATTTTAATAAAAAATGCATATTCAAATTTCGGAAAGGGGGCTTGCATCACTACATTTTTATGAAGTGGGGTGATCTTTGAACAAAAAATACTGAACAGATGTCAACATCCGAGATTATCATTCATGAAACTTTATAGTTAAAAAAAAAAAAAAAAAAAAAAAAAAAAAAAAAAAAATCTTGTGACAAGAGCCGTGCACATGATACAAAGTAAGCATGGAATAAATATTTTGGATTTTTTTCGGTTTTAAATATATCTATCTGTGGTCCTGTTTACACTTGGTGCTTGGAAAATATTTCAGCTCCTGTAATCAGATATTTTTGTATTTCTTCTCTTTTCATTCATTTTGCCCCGCTGCTTTTCCGTAGGTCCACCTATTGAACCAAGAAGCGCACAAATTTATGCGAAGGAATAAAGCAGGTATTCGCGTCATGGATGTAAAGGATATGCCTCAAGTATACATGCAAGTGAGTGTATTATCATTTCAGCCAGTTTATCGAATTTGATGACTCTTTCTTGACTTGAGTTGAGAAAGAAAATCACTGAGAAGTGGCAGTGTTTGCCACACAAATAAATTTTTTTGGAAAATGCATACAAAAAATCAAAACTCAAACTCTTGAAACAGATTCAATGATACATCTTTATAGGTAACTCAATCTTTCCCAAGATAGGCCAGGTAACAATTGGCGTACCTATGCTTATTTTGAGCTAACAAGATATCTTGCTGGCTCAGATGGGATTGAGGAGTACTTAAACATTAGTTGAACATTCTCATGCCAGAAGGAACTATGTTAAGTAGGCAAACCCTATGCGTATAATTCCTTTTAGCATAACTACATTCAGTTTTGTGAATTCAATTCTGTTCGTTATTTCTACTGTAATGGCGCAATGTTGGCCATTGTATGCATACTTACTTATTTTCTTCTTAACTTCAGTAAATGTCCATAAATAACTTCAATCACCAAAATCAACTAAAAGTAAATCAGTAAATGGATTTTTTTAATCAAATTTGTGGTAAAACTCAATCTAGTTTAACTGGTTTTTTCACCCGCAAACCTCTTTTTTGAGAATTATTTAAAATTAAATAGGAAAATAAACGGAGAATTTACATCGCCATCGTGAAGAGCATAATTACGTACTGGAGTGAGGTCTGGCAATTGAAGAAAAGATCTGAGGATATCTTACGGGCAACCGAAATGGACTTTTGGCGGAGGTCTGCAGGGATCTCGTGGAGAGAGCGCGTTCATAATGAACGAGTGCGTGAGATAATGGGAGTTGAGAAAGATATTGTGCACGATATCAAAACCAGGCAGCTGGTTTGGTATGGACACGTGCGGAGAATGGCAGATAGTAGGTTGCCCAGAAAGGTATTTGATTGGGTTCCTCCCAGAAGAAGGCGGCGTGGACGTCCAGTAAAAGGTTGGCGGGAGGGAGTGGAGGGGGAGATCAGACGGTGTAATCTGCTAGATGATTTGTGGGAGGATCGATTCCGATGGCGATTTGGAGTCGCAGAGCGCTCTAGTGCGCTGAGTTAGCGGCTTGATATGTATGTATTTAAAATTAAATAAAATTAATTTCGTCATTTATTGATTTTTTTTTTTTTTTTCAGAAAGCCATAATAAACGAAGTGGCCAAGAAGCACGGCCCCACAGCATATTACCAAGCAGTCAAAGATGAAATGAGAAGGTAAACAATGTCTTTTCTTTCATCTTTATAACTTTGTGAAGCGGAATCTAAATGAGCCTGGAGATCGCAACAACAAACACTTTTTTTCCTCTGACAACTCATTCACTCATCAGAGCTCTCTTGAATCCCAAATCATTTTCTTAGTTTGGTTTAATCTCTACGATCGCAAGAAGAGAAAAATCAGGAATCCCCCCCCCCCCCCNAAATAATATCTAATGAAACACAGATTCAAGTAAACTCGTAGAAAGAGGAGTCCATTTCTAGAATCCCTTGGCTCTCCAGAATAGTTGCTTGTTTTTTGAGCGATTCATATTAAAAGTAGATGAGATTTTCCATGCGAAAAGGGGCACCAGGTTTTTAGGAAAACAATTTTAGTAAACTTCGCTCAAAGAATTGGAATTCGAGTTTTTGGCGGAAAACACTATTTCCAGGGAAGAAGTTGCAAGTGGTTCAGTTCATTTTCGTGTCAATGAAGGGCATATGGTTGAACCAGGAAAATGGCTAATGAAAAGTTTAAATAAGTTTTTCCTCAGAGGCACACTTCTCAATTTCAAATTGTTGTTTATTTGTTTGGTTTGTACATCTTAGATAATTTTCTTAGTCCAAATTTTGAAAAAAAAACGGTGATCCTAATATCTTCTCTCTTTTTTGGCATTCTGAGGACCCTCTCTCCCTTGATGGTCACAAATGTCCAGTTTTAAAAAAAGAAGCGATAAAAAAAGTAAAACGCCATTCTGTATGATGAGGTACTGTGCAGTTGTATTTTTTTGTTTTTTCTGAATGAATATTTTTCCTCTATATAATTAGGTATTTTTGCCCAGATTCTTCATGATGCTTATCAACATACCACTCTTTTGCCTCCAACGCTTTCATCTTTGCAAGTAATCATGCCATCTTTGCTCCCTTTACAACTCTACCTTTATTCTTTGAATCTGTGTAAAGAGTTGATTGCTAAACAAAAAAATAATCTCAAAGAAACCAGATAGATGACGTGAAGAATCAAATTCAAACCTGACGTCTTTTTACCCTACGAATTAAATGCTTTTCTCTTGTAGATAGCATATCATTTCTGTTCCATTTTTTCATTCTTCACCTCTCACTCCCCATTCTATCCACCTACCTCTCTTCGGTCTTAATGTTTTATTCTTTCGGACGCTGCGTTTTGACAACAGCCTTTCCTCCGACGATGACTCTGACAATGATTTGTCCATATGGGACCTCCCTCTCATACAGTATGAGAATCAACTTCACCCTCTCAGGTAACTCACAAGACCTCTCAGAATGACGGACGGCGATCCTGACACCAGAACGCTCAAATCAAAGATATTTTACCATGAATTTTGTAGAACGCCTATATTTTAAGCAAATGACCTGAAATCTCTATGTATACATCAAGTTTCGCTAATTCCTTCTTTGAGGATCAATAAAACCTTTATATAAAGTTGTGATCCTGATCCATGCAAAGTTTAGACTGTAACTTTCATCAAAGTTTTGCAAAAAGAAAAAAGATTTTTAAGATTTTGATAATTAATTCAATCCTTAGTTCAGATCGTCTTTCATAAAAAAAGGAATGAAGTGACAAAAATCATTTTGAGTCATCCTTTACCAGTCAGAAAAAGGAATTATCTCAGTCAGTTTTGAATCTAAAAACCAAAATCGAAACTGTCCTAGAGGTATGTAGAGAGTTATTCTCCAGGCCCAAAAATTTCAAAAGCAATGTTGGTGAGGAGCAATGTCATCATATAAGTCTGTCTCAGAAAAATAAATAATGAAAGAGAAAACCCAGAAGAATGTAAAAAAGATGCATGCTTTTTATCTGCTATATCTTGTCACCTTCCGGCCAAAGTATCACAAGCGCCATGCAACGTTTCAAAATTTCTGCCGCATTTCATTTTTTTACAGAGAAATTGTTCAACGAAGCTGTCGAAAAATTTCACTGAATTTTCTTTGTGCTGCCGATGAAATTCAGTGAAATTTTCAACCAGATTCAACAAAAAGTTTCCCTGTAAATAAATAAATTGGCAGCGGAAATTTTGAAACGTCATATGGCACTTGTGATATACTTTGGCCAGCAGGTGACGATCTGTGTTGCAGCTTTAAGATTCCTTTTTTTGTATCTCAACGGAAGTATAAATATTTTTTTTTAATTCACCTGAATGATAACAAACAAATTTGCAGTGTTGAAATAGAAAAGCTACTTCAATTCCAAAAAAAACTTTGCAAGCTTTTGTCTAAATAATTTTCGGCAACAAAACAAAGCTAAGAGCACGGAAACTTTTGCTGGTTGAGACTAGCTTATTTGTCATTTTTCCCCTCCTTTTCATGCAGGATCCATTTCCTTGATGACCGCCAAATCAGCTGTTTATTTCAGGAAAAAACTGTGTTATTGTAAAAAATAAATCCTTGGTATACTGTTTTGTCTAGAGACTATTAATCAAGTTAATTGAGTGTTATTCGTTGAATTTGCTCAAAATTTGTTCTTAAATGAAAATTTGTCAACACTAAACCTCCAGTGTGTCTGGAGAAGGGAATTGGACACCAGCTAAAGTATTCAGCTTTTAAAATTTCTCAATAAAATTCTACCACTTCTTATACGTTGATTGTTACCTACCTTGTAAGTATTAAAGTTAAATGCATTTTGAAACTTTGAGGACCCATTAAACTATTTTCTATTGACGATTTGTATACTTTGCTTTGAATGTTCCCTGAGTTTGTCTTCTTTTGTGAATTTCAGGAACAAAATGATTACGTTAGATATGGAAGTAGAACGGCGTAACTTACTGGCTCAAAACAAACGACACGCGGTGATTTGGAGTAGTCCCATCAAGTGAGTTTTGAATGATAGTCGGAAAGTATGAATTATTCACCACGCAGCAAAAGCCTTCTACATTTAAATCTCTATCAAGATACAAAGTCCCTCACATCGTATATCATTTTAGACATTAAATATTTCCCTCTCAAATGAAGGGCTTGAAGGACAAGGCGCATCAGTGCAGTTTTTTTAAAAAATTTAGATCTTAATGATTTTAACTAAAACTAGTCTTAAAATATATTCTATGAGAACATCTCTTCTCAATTCCAATTCCTAAGCTTCAAAAAGGAAGTTTGAACCTTCTTTCCACCTTCTAACAATTGACAGAATGACCCCTAATCATGGATATGGCACCAGACATTGTTTCATGAACAATAATAATATGTGTAACAACTAGGGAGAGTAAATTAATGAAAAATCAAGCGATAACGTTTTTCAACACCTTGAGCAGTGAATTGAAAGTGGTGTACAGGGAAGGTTTCGTCAACATATTTCTTAACCAATTGAAATTGAGACTTAAAAATAAGGCGTATTACCTATAGTCTGGACGAATTCTTTGAAGACTCCTCATAATTAATTTTGTGTTAAACTAGTTATGAACATTGTAACTCTTGGGTGTATAAACTGTATTAAAAAAAGAAGAAGAAAATTGACTTGTGCCAGAGCTATTATATAATAGGCTGTATGCGTCAAATAAATTCTATTCTATTCTGTTCTATTCCATTCTATTCCATTCTATTCTGAAGGCTTCATGTGATTTTGAAACTTTGAACACATATTTCTTGAAAGAACAGAAACTGCACTGATGCGCCTTGTCCCTCAAGCCCTTTAATGAGAAAAGGAATCATCAATCAACAAGAATCTGCAGTCATTTAGACCCAAAAAGAGAAGAACTTTCAAATTTTGATGTTGGAAGCTTCATAAAATGATACTTGCTCCTCGATTTTTTTTTTTTACTTTTTTACTTAATGAGCTTTAATTGTGAAAAAAAAATTAGTTGTAATAATTGAAAATAATCCCTTATGATTTCAACTCCAGTCACCTATGTTAGTTAAGTTAAGTAAAAAAGTTAGTAAACATTTAAAAGATATTTCACCTACACTGGTGATATTTACTTTATAAAATTCATTCTAAAACAAAATCTTGTGACCAGGTGGATAGGTTTCGATCCTGATTTTAATAATTATATATTCAAAATAATAAATGTTTCAAAATTTTTTTACTTCCAGAAACCCAAACGTTGATGAGAGATCGTGCGGTCCCTACGATTTCCGTAAACTTCTCAGACCTACAGAGCACCCTCCCACAGAATCTTTGCGTAGAAGGCTCGACGCAAGAACTCGACTTCAAAATCTTAAAGCAATGTAATGATTTTAGCATACCTATTGTCAAATCATGATTTTTGACCATCTCATGATTTTTATCAGCTATTTTTACCGAAGCAACAATCTTCATTTGAAGTCCTATTGTTTATGTGTAAGTATTGGAAGTTCTCTTCTTCTGAAATATCTTGATACATTCGCAGAATCAACTGTTAAACTGCATTAAATGTAATTTGTCATTATTGTGTCTTGAAACTCATGATCTGATCTATTCAGTGGAATCGAAAAAATCTCTTACCTTGGATAAAATCGAGAAGTCTCTAGCTCATTACAACTTTTGAGAAACGAAAATGGACACCTTTAGGCAGAAAAAGTCAATTTTTATAGGAAATCCATCGCAAATTGACTTCTGCATTAGGATGTCTAATTAAATGTGAGATCAGTTGTGCTTACTGGAAGATTTTTTCCTTTTTTCAATTTTTTCTGCATCATTAAGTTTCAAAATACATAGCAAAGGAGAGCTATCTAGTGGGTTTTTGTTCAGCACTGGAAGTATTTATATATACCTAATACATTTTACCTTGCTGTAAGCTGAAAGTCTTGCTGCACACACAGGTGTATCTTCACCCACACAGGGAAGCGGGATTAAACATTTTTTGACACTCCAATACTCCAGCTTTTTGATGAATTTTAGTGACAAATACAATGAAAGGTTTAAATTTTCGAATTTTTGAATTCTTTGAAAGGTTTGACTTTTGTTCAAGCTATTAAATTTAAGGTGCCTAGTCATTCAATGATGTGCTTGTAATTATTGGATCTCATGTCTTTTTTGTAAATACTGTTGGAAAGAGAGTAATATTTTGCGTTAAAATAGAGTAGTATATAAGGTTTAAGACTAATTTGTTTTCAAATTTCAAGTATGCTCTCAAATTAAAAGTTGATTTATATTAATTATGTTATTCTGTTGAGAATAAATGCTTCACAGTTATCATAAGGCATTTCATTCTATTATCCCTTGTCCTAAGTCAGGATTTCAGCAAGTAAATAATTGATAGAGACTATAGAATATTTTATGGAAATTTTGCGTGATTCCAGACTAAAATTTCCAGCAATATTCTCAAGTAAATACCTACCTACCTAGCATGGCGAAACGACAATCCTGAAATAAAATTGCAATATTCTTACATAATTGGGTCAATTAAATGAGTTCTATGTCTCAGAAAGATGGAAAATTTGTAATTCGGAAAAAGAATTATCCCAATAAAATACAAATTTTAGTATCAGGAGTCCTTTCAATGAGTAGTAGGTTACAGCAATATACACAGCACTCTTTCATGGTGGCAATAATTTAACGCATGTAACCACAATTGTTTACCGCTTTTGCTGCTTGGGGAGTGGTTTAAAGTAGGTACCTACAAGTGACATTCAAGTTACTTAAAGATTTTTGTCTCATGGCAACTTCACAAAGCAGTAAGATGTTGTGTAAAAAATCCCATTCTAATTGATCAATTGAAGATCTTGCTTCAGAGCAAAATGAAAAAGAGTGAATCAAGTTTTCTGCAACAGACCGCTTCTTAGATCATTGAAATTCATCAAAATTTCCATGGATATTGCACTGTTGAACGGATGTGAAATTTCAGCAGCAACTTCCTCAGTAAGGAAATTGCCACTGAAATTCCTCAGAATTCGGTTGGTCTCAGGAGGAAGATTCTCCATTTTTTCCCCTGGGAAAACCACGTTATTGTCCATATCCATGTTCCAAAATTAAATGTCTGCAGCAATTTTTAAACTTTAGGTACAATGAACTTGTACCCTTCCAAAAATATCAGTTCAAACAAAAAAAAAAAAAAATTCTGATGCAATTTTTAGTTTACATTTCTAAAAACTGATTGAAATTCAAAACTTTGGAATCCAAAATAAAAAAAGTTTTTTCAGAGGCGAGAAAATTTTTAAGTACCTAAAAAACAGGAAAAGATAATCACGATTTGCTGGAAACAATATCAAGAACATTGAATGAACTGTAAAATAATTCATTACTTATCTTTGAGCCTTCTAAGAGGTAACATTGTGTTCTTTGATGTATTGGCAATTTTGAGCGATTTTTTACTTGTTCTCAACGAGTATAAAGAATGGACCCTTTATGTCAAAAGGAATTATGTCGCACCCAACATAGTTCCTTTTTGCATGAATGTGTCCAAATGATCATGAAATTTTGGTCTTATAAAACCTGCACATGATCCCTCATCTGCACTGAGAAATAAAAAGACCAATATTATGCAAAGTTTAAAAAATAAAATAATATACATACTTATGGTTCGAAAATTGTGTAAATTTTGCAGAATTATCTGCGCATTTACTGCTCACATTCCACCTCAGAAAGTACAAGGAACCCTATTACTGTTTCTACTGCTTGCATTTTTTGATACAGTCAACAAGATTTGAGGTGCAATATGCGCACAATGGCAAGAAACATGATGACCAGAATTTCGGTTAAGGAAGGTAGTTCTAAAAACCATAAATCAATTATAATGCTTACTTTTAGAGCGGAGATTACCATCAAAAGACGGATTGTTCTGAACTGAACAACTATCTCTCAACACACAACAAATTGCCTTTATTAACAGGAATTTCAAGTTTCTTCAATTCGCCTGCAATCCAGATTGAGGCAATTTTTACTACAAATATGTTGTGCGTACCGATTTTGGTTAGAAGGCGTTTTATGCATGCAAATAACGCACTCTATAGGTAAAAAACGAAATATAGCTTGAACAAACTGCCAGTAGAGAGCGCTAACAGGGGTGTATGCAATGTTGCCTGGTCAATCGTACTTAATTAATAAAGTTTGGGTGTGATTTGCTCTCCATCGACAATATTGATTAGTTCCAAATTAAATATCGAAGAAATTTTGAATACGAATTTGTTTCATGTGTATCATAATGATTTTCCCGAGTGTATTCGTTAAAAAAATAATTTACAGATTGACCATATTTTATTACCGATTTGGCAACTATAAACAATTGATGTCATTTCAGCTTGACAACATAATAATACTTGATTCCATCTAAAACCTATCTACATTTTCTGCCAAATTGTGAATTTGAGTTTCATGAATAAGTAGTGACAGATAATGAATTTAAAAACGCTTTTCTTTGGCACTAATGCTGTATGCAAGTGGTCAAGGAGAATTATTTATTGTTTGAAACGCAGTGTGTTGGAATAAAGGTTGGTAGAATGCATCCCAGCTGATCGAATTCGGAGTGGATTGAGCGTTTTTGCAGGCAAAGACCCCCTACGATGTGCAGGCGATCACAGAGCGGGAGTAGCTGGTGGAGCGTGCGTGCAGCTCGCTCGGACTCCATGATTCTGCTCTGTTGCTCTCTCCTCTCCCCTACTCTTTGCTCCTAATGGCGCCAAGCACAAATTTCACTCGCGGAGAAAAATTAAACTACTCAGCTCAGGGAATTGGCATTTTTGATTGAGATTAANTCATTCGGAGTGGGGGTCCTGGGAGAGGAGGAGGGGGCAACTCTTTTGTGCTGTTGTTTGTCGTAAAATGGAACTTGTCCATGAGTTTGTGCCGAGACTGCCAAGCATAATCGTTCAACCGCGGCGTTTCCTAATTCCTAATTAGTCCCAGCCATTGTTCACTGTAGAGTTTATTAATTTCTCATCTTGCTCTTCCCTATTTTCTCTCCTAAGAAACTGTGTTTGTGTTGTCAGTGATTTTAGTTGCGCGAGTGCGTCGTTGAGGATATTGTGGCGTGCGTTTCGTATTTACTTCCTGAGCTTTCTTTGTTGAAGAATGATTACGATTAAGACATCGTTCTCATGACGAAATGACGTTTTCAGGTCTCTATTGAAATCCCTGTCGTGTTTAAAAATGAATTTCGAGTGGTTTGCCCTCTTGGAATATTGAAGTAGTGAGTGTATCTCGCGTGGTCCCTAGGTTTTTCTCTCCATTTTGTCTAGCTTCACTGTAAGCTTATCTGGCTACAGTTTCCTTTACATCATTTAAGTTTAAGTATACTCGCTCATAATGGCTCAACAACCAACAGGAAGTGCTACAAGAGCTCTCGCTTTAGAATACAAAAGTCTCCAAGAAGAGCCTGTTGAAGGTTTTCGCGTCAAGTTAGCTGATGATGATAACCTATTTGAATGGGAAGTTGCGATATTTGGACCTCCAGAAACTTTGTATGCAGGCGGATATTTTAAGGTAACATTGACCATGTCTGAATCACTTCTTATTATGCAGTCATATCTGATGTGCATATTCTTTGGTCACTGGTATTTTCTTACAAGACCTGGGTGACTCCCAGGCGCCTCAGTATGTAAACGTCAGAGCCTGTGTCAGATAACTTTGCTTTTTTGTTGCATGCCTGAAATACAAAAGTCCCTATCCTGCACATTCAGCAGAAAATAATGTATTTTCACAGCTATCTGAAACAGGTTTTACCATGATTGCGACAAGGGTAGGTATCCTTTAATGTAGGTAAACAGCATCCCTATTTTTACATCACAAGTGGGAAGCATCTTAACCACACAGTAAGAAGCAATTGCATGTTGTATGCCCGGATTCCTGAAAGGGATGCTATGCAAGCTTTAAAACAGGGGTTCAGAAAATTTGGCACCCAAGGTTGGTAAATTTGAAATTGACTGTCTAGAAAATGCAGGAGTACGCTCCGACGCGTCTTTGTGTAAGCAGTTGATTATGAGAAATTTTTGGTGAAAACTGGCAAGGTTTTTTCTAGCTATAGGACACTGGGGTACAAGGTTCTTTTCTCAATTTATTTCCTAAATTTTCTTCTCAGTTCTTCGGAAGCAGGAAGCAACGATGATTACATTGAATGAAACTGACTGCAAGTTGGCTTTAGTGTAGAAATGAGGCAAGCATGCCTCTTGTTTGTAAAGAAAAGTGTTGACCGCACTCCTTCCTCGTGAAAGTACGGTGTTTCCTACCCTTCAAGGTTATATTTGTGAAAGTAACCTTGATTTATGCAGAAGCTAAGAACTTTCCAAACCCCTGCCTGAAAATTCTTTTGAGACGATAAATCACTAAATAGAGCCCAATAATAAGAAATTGAATGGTGTTTTTATGACTGAAGATGAATTATTTCAAGTATAGCAATTTACCAAGAAGCTCCTGATGCACATGCTTATTAAACAATGCAGGTAACAAAATGCTTCCAACACTCACAATTTTTTCACCAAGCACACCCTCAGACTTGAAATGATTATTTTAGTCCATGCCACAAAGAGTGGTGAGAGTTAATGGTGTCCTCAGATAAGTTGACCGTTGTTTACTTTCGGTTTGCAAGGGCTGGCAACGGATTTCGGCCTTTGCACAGACCGTCGTTCGCTACTATCCATCATGATAACATCTGTCTCATGATCGTGTCATACAAAAACTACTCATTAATTAAGATCCTTGACTTTTATGTGGTTGTGACTTCTGTGTGACTGGGAATGGAAGTGTTACGAGGTTTGAAGGTATTAAAAAACCTATCCAAGCTTGTGTTCTCGCTTCTGCGAGAGTCGCATGTTTTCATGTGGATGGTAGTGACGCGAATACGCCTGCAAACCGAAAGTAAACAAATGCCAACTTATGTGACGACACTTCCTGGTGGAATTGGTGACTGGCCCCGGGTAGTATTATAAAGGGCTAAAATGCAGATGCATTCATTGACTTGTTCATATAATTTGAGTTTGCCCAAGTGAATCAACCCCTAAAATTTGGCCCATCTGCCCACTTGACTGCCTCCCACTGTCTGTTGTGTGGAGTATAAGTACATAATTTTTTCTACAAAAATACCATTTAACTCATCATACATGATGTTGGTTACTTCTAGGTACCACTTATCAAGTCTGTTTACCCCTCCAATAGCAAGTTTGCCTGTCTCGTATACTTTTCACCCATGCGCACTTTTAGGAAGCTGTAGTTTATTTTTGACAAGGGCCAAGGGGTTTGTGAGAGTCTATTTCTAACGAGGACGATCCGGGGGGTTTAAGTATGATAAACGGCTAGTTCACTTCTTAGTTTCCTCTGTGGTGGGGGTTTAATCAAGGAACTGCACATTTATTTCCAGAGTTTCAGAATTTCACTTCTTTTTTTCTCTGTTTTTCCTGTTAGAAAACCTCAGTTTTATTGTTCAACAATGTCAGAAAATACTTAGTCCCCTAACAAAGAAGAAAAGTCACCGAAAGTTCTAATAAGTATGCCTGTCAGTTTTTCAACTAATTAGTTTTGTCTAATGGGAGGACTACAATATCACAACTCGAAAAAAACAGTTTGTCTGCATTTTTAAACATTAAAATATTCTTGAATGTGTGAAAGTTCCCATGAAAATGTTATCTTGAATCCCCTTCTTTTGTGTATCAAGGCCTTTTATCGAGGGATGGGTAGGGTAAATGACAGAGGGCAAGAAGTCCCCCCCCCTTCTGGGAGCAATGATGAATCCGTTTGCAGGATGAGCATCCAAGAATCGTCACCAGACATCGACGGTAAACTCCCAATTTACGTATCCCGTTTGTGGTGTTTTAAAACATTCGCTGTTTGGATCCTCATTTGAAGCTAGAAAAACCTCCTGTGCCTTCCTTTAGAGCTGGGGTAGTCCCACAGATTGCTCTTGATGGGGTGTCTTTTAGTGTCCTCTTAGACCCCCCTTGAGGGTGTGCACTTTGGCTTTGGGCCCCCCCCCCCCCACAAAAAGTTCCTAGTTCCGCCCATGCAGGAGCAATTTGCCAAATCAGGCCCTGACTTTCAGGCGATTTGGCGAATGAAGTGATCACTAAGAGACCGTAATTTTCGACTTCCAAAAATTACTTTTACTCTAAAAGGAAGGCATAAGTGTGGTGTCGTTATCATAGATTGTCTCTGATCTATATCCTCAAGGCCCTTAGTGACAGGTGGGAACTTTCACTCTCTAGGTCCCATCACCCAACTCTTGAAACTGCCGTAAAATCTACTTGTTTGCTGTTGAGCAACGTGTTGAGTGTTGAGCAATCCGTTCCACAAACGAGGCGCTAGCCGGTTTCTCACGTCGCGGACGCGAGTCTCGCAGCTGATGCGATAAGTTGATACCTCTCTGGTCTCCCAGAGTTAGGAAAATTTCTCGCAAGTCCCCCCCCCCCTCTCAACGTGTCCCTGTCTCAAGTGGACAACGCTGTTTTACCCTTAATTTAAATCCAACTTAAGTATCGTATTCTTTCCAAGGCCGCAGTATCCCCCGGATATAAAGCCTAAAACAACATACAAAAAAAAAAAAAAAGTATCGATTCGAGATGAGTCAGCATGCCTCGCCGGTAATGGATCGTTTTTCATGCATCTGAATGAAGAAGAAACCTAAGTCGATTGTTTGGAACTTTGAATTTTAATGAATTGTGAAAAGTCGGGTTTTGCCGTTGAACCTTGAATTGTCTTGTCCTGTTGCTTATTTGGACGGATCTGGTTACTTCTATGCTCCCTACATTAACAGAGCTCGAATCCGGCAATAGCTCACTTATCTGAAACATATTTTTACAACCAATATCCGCGGGGTCTTTCGTAGATGGTGGTAGATGCCAGTATGCTTACCGCCGATTCCCGACCTTCGATTTGGCCTTTAGAGTCGTCAAACACTGAAGTAAAAGCCAACATTTGATCTATCACCACCCGAAAAGAATCTCACCTATCTGGAAGGGAATGAAGCAATCAGTGTGGAAAATGTTTCACTGTTTTTCCTCCATTTAAATTCACTGAATATATGGATCCTAACTTGAGGCAGGCTACCTCACATAGAATTTGATTGCATTTTGCATAAAGGAACCAGGAGCTTTGCAATTTCGTTAAGATTGTACAACTTCATCCATTGCAAAATGACTATTAAAATCCTAAAAAAAATGAAATTTACAGGGTAATTTTTCCCTTTTACAGTTTTTAGCAAGTAAAGTAGAATGTGTTTATAGATAATCAGGTTTTTCTTCCAAGACCAAAGAAGCTGCATAATCTTAGCAACATTGCAATGCTACTGGTCCCTTATTGCAAAATGCGATCCAATCGATTGTTGCACAAAGATTTAAATGGAGAAAAAGCAGTGTTGCCAACTTGGAAGAATTACCAGTGGTTAACGACGTTGCCCAACTGGCTCCGGGTAATGTCGTAAGTGCGCCGAAACACGTCGACGGTGAAACTCTCAAGCCACGTACCTTGCTTCCGGTGTTGTCAAATTTTACCGTTTATTTAATTTTTTAAAGGAAAAAATGAACATGATTCCTCGAACAAAAATGTCTTCGTCGTTAGAAGAAAAATCGCAGCAGTTTTTGATAATTACTATTGATATTGATCAGTTTTCCATTTAAAAAAGCCTGCAACCTGCAACGTCGCGAACCGAGGCAAGTGCTTTCGGAGTTTCACAGTCTATGTGTCAATCTTCAGTCGACGCAAAGGTTTTACCCTACCCAAATTATAAGCAAATAATAGTTTTTAAGGAAAGCTTATCCAGGGAATTGACAAGAGGTCAGCTAGGAAGGGTCATTCTTCAGCACCCCTCAAAAGTTTATCCTAGAGTCCCTTTATACTGAGAGTCAAGACAACACCTCTCATGGAGTCACAAACGGGAATAAAGATTACAGAAATTGAACGTTCTTTGTAATCTTTGATCGGGCCATTCTAAACTTCCTTTCTCCGTTCCTTCTCTCATTCCGTTTGTTCCTTGCCGAACCCGTAATTCCCTGGTCCATTCCAGATTATAATCTTTGCAATCGGTGAAAATGTAATCTTTATTCTTGTTTGTGACACTGTGAAGGTCTAAAATACGGGAACCAATCAGAAATGGATTCACATTGTCTTGACTCTCAGTATAAAGGGACTCTAGTTTATCCTAAATCACCGCAACCTTTCTCTGGATTTGAATTCATGGCCTGTTTTTTTCACCGGCGTTTTCTGCCTGAAAAAATATGGGGGTCAGAACTTAAACGGAGGGCGAAGAGTCACGCTCATCGCCAGTATCCGCCTGCAATCTTTGAGGTAGGCCAGCGAACACCCTTCGCGTGGTATTAGTCGCCTATTCAAAGATTTGCGCCTCATGTTGCTCCACAAATCTTTATCTCCTGCACGAAAGAACGTATCTCGATTGCGTTTTCTCAATATTTCTTCTTAACACTTTATTGCTTGTAGACACCATCTCGTGAATTTGTCTGAAATTTCTTGGGATTTTTCTTTATACCCACTTGTAAAAAAAGCAGCTTTGCACTTACAACGGTTTTCTCATGGGGAAAAAAAATTTTCCTAGAAATATTGAAACAGCCAAGTTGAGGTACATTTCTTCGTGGAAGCGACGACGGAAATTCGGTCTCACAGTCCGTCAGAAATAAATCCATCCACCTGATGACTTGGATGGTAGCTAAGTTTCCCTATATAAAGCTTGTATGTTGATGATAAATACATAATACAGGGTGTCTAGCTTCAGGATTTTCCCGATTTCCACAATTCTATCAGGATTTGAGGTCAATCAGGATTTAATCCCGATTTCATCAGGATTTTAGGAAAAATCGGTCGTAAAATCAGAATGTGAGAAAAGTCGGCTGTCCGATCGGATTTTTTTACGATTTCGCATACGCTCATGCAGAAATTTTAATTTTGCTCCGCAAAAAAATCAGGATTTAATCAGAATTTGGAAAAAATTTGAAATCGGGATTTAGCCGTAATAAATCAGGAAAAATCAGGATTTCCCAAAATGAAAAAAACTAGACACCCTGTAATACCTAATTCATAAATACATAAGACATATCAGAAAAATAAATAATTTACGGGTTGCCTCTCTGGCGTGGGTGGAGGAAACACAACTAGGATTTCCATTGAGATTTCTTGCCTAAAATATAATAACTGGATTGTGAGGCTGGTCGAAGCGTTTGCAGTTGGGAGAGAGGCAGTATGAACTTATGAAGATGGTGAGCTTCTGGGTCTTTCACGAGTAAGCCTTAACATTGATCGGTACGAAGGCCAAGTCGCGCTCTCGCTCGCGTACCCGCAGGTGTGGAATTGTGGATCCAGTACTCGAGTCGGCACCACTCTTGCCGTCCCGCTAATTATCCTCCCGATTTACCGCCTACTTATCCTCCCAACTTGGCAGCCCTCCCTTCTCGTCCATTTGAATGCATGCGAAACAATCGAAATTTATCGAGGGTAACTGCCTCGTGTGGAATCGATAAAATACAGTGGCGAGGCGTGAATGATCCGTTATCGATATTTTCCCATTTGAAACTACGGTAAAAAATCGATTATCAAGGCGTTCGCTGCCAACACCCTTTATATCGATCCTTTTCCATTGGTTAAAACGGCAGATCGAAGGATATATCGCGAAGCATGCCACGCCACTGATAAAATAGAATGGAGTTTGATGGAGGACAAAGAGAGCGAGAGTCGTTGCATTTCCACGAGAAGCTCGACAACATGGTGAAGACCAACGTTGATCCTCGACTCGAAACCGCGGCTCCCGCCCAGCCACCAGCCGAGCATCAGGAAATGGGGCTAACGAAAAAAAAATGGCTTGAGCGTTTTTCCGTAAAATCCTCATCAGGTCAAATGAGTATTCGCCGAGTTTTTTTTTCTTTTTTTTTTTTTTTCTTTTTTTTTCATTCTTTCTCTTGCGCGCAAGTGGTGTGCGAATGATACTGACGGATTGTTCCTCTCTTGAAAGCACGTGTCTTTTTCAAGGTTATTTTTAGCATCATCACATGGCCAAGTTGTAGTTTCGCTACCACTGGAGCGTCAGTTATTTTCATAGATGCTAGAGACGGGGTGTAGAGACACAAGTTATGAAATTCGCAGTTTAGGATCCTCGTGTGTATTCGCGGGTGTGTTATTTACCGGTGGGGTCGTGGTGGAATCAGTGGAAGGAGCGCCCCCCCCCCCTCGACCAAGAGGTTCTGAGTTCGATTCCTGGCCAGAATGACTCAGAATGTTTCAAACAAACGGCTTTTGCAGGCGAGGCTAGGAATGAGGTATTTGGTGTACCAGTTAAGACTTTCTGCGGATTCTATAGAGGACTGAAATAATGCGATCCATTGCCATTAAATATGTTTGTTGGATTGTCGGGTTGCCACTCTAGCCTTAATGTACCGTCAATGAGGAGTGCAAGCGTGGCGCACGAGGAAATCCGTGAGCTCCTGTGAGAATTTTTAGATGTACCTTCAGTAATTTTTTTGATGAAGAAAAAGCTGTAAAAAAGTGAGGGAGAAAAAAAGGAAAGCTCACCTTTTTTTTTTTTTTAAAAAAAAAAAAAATTTCTCTCAACGCGCGTTTTCAGTGTTTTTGCGGAGTGAGAAAATTTTCCGATGGAGAGGAAATTTTAAGGCTCAGATTGCTGACTAATTTTTACACCGAAAACTTTCCGGATCCCTCGCACAAGTTTTTTTATAGCATTATTTTAAGCTTTGAAGTAACTAGTCTATTTTTTAATTCTTTGCCTCCTTGTTTAATTTTGGTGTAAAAGTGACCCAGACCATACTCGTGCTCTATGCACAACATTTCCAACTTCTCGTTGAAAGTTACCAAGTTCACTTCGATGAATTCCAAATTTTATCCATCGCGGCCATTTCGTCAATTTAATGTTTCGTTGGTTGTGAAGAATCAACATTGTAGGCACTCGGAAGAAGGGGAAACAGTATTGGAAAATTGTCACCGTTGTGTGTGCGCAAGAAGAATCCAGTAGTGTGGCGTGCTTTGCCGATATATCGATTGATATGCCATTTAAACCTATGAAAAAGGATCGATAAACAAGGTGTCTGCAGCGAATCGATTCTTTATCATAGGGTAAAATTGCATAGCAATCGATGTATCGCAATTCACGCCACGCCATTGGAAAAATCCCCAAAGTGACGTCACGTGCAAAGCAGTGGCTAGAAGCTGAGCAATGAAACATCTAGTCACCTTGGGCGTGTGTAATAGAATTAGCGAGGATTATCTTCAACTCAACGTTTTCCCTTGCACCGAGTAAAATAAAACCCTAAAATACCCTATTATTTAGTTGCCGCGCGGCCGCGCCACATCATTCTGGGATGTTCCCGTCTCTCACCGAAACGTCGTAATCTCGTAATTTCTGCACGTGTCTTCAGTGTTTTGATTACGGGCTCGATGTGTGAGAGTTAATGTGAGATTCAATTGGGAGCTATCGTAACTCATCAACGCCTCCCTATTATAATCATTCAAATTGATTAGCGTTAATCACGCATGCTCCAATTCACTTCCAACCATGAAAACCACGCAACTCTCTTCGCAACATCGCAGATTTCCTGTCCGTGGATTTGTTCGCAGGGTGGCCAAGACAACCCTCCGATTTGGTATATGCGTCGCAGGCCAAACGCCAAACCAACCAATCGCCGCGCCGCGCCGTCGACTCGGACGTTTTCGTCGTCCCTATAGATCAGAGCACAAAAGTACCACAATGAAGCATGGCGAATACATTAGTGAAAATTATACTATTTTCTGATGTTTCCCTCCTAAAATAAGGGCTGCGTCTGATTGTTATTTATTCACTTACCCAAGTTCTCTCTGAACTGATGGAGAATTTTGGTTAGAATTACAAGGGTCTTATTTTTTTCCCGCTGAAGCTGTTGTTGGCCCCATCCATCATCGTGAACAGCTATTTGCGCGTCTGTGCGTGTAAGGATTCCCATCAATCCTGGTCCCATTTTCCCAATATGTTGATATTCTTGTAATATTCTTTGTGCCACCTTCGTTTTTTTAGTGTATTTTCTTCGGAAAATACACTATTTTTATTATTACGTTCAATTATCTAAGTATGTATGTGGATGTTTCTGAATCAGGATCGAAACGAATAAGAAACATAAAGGTTTCCAAACTCCATGTCTCTTGCCGTTGTGTAATTTTCTTGGCGCCTCACTCTCGTTTGTTTGTTTTTTTCCAGGCACACATGAAATTCCCACCAGACTACCCTTATTCACCACCTAGCATTCGATTCCTAACCAAAGTCTGGCACCCGAATGTTTATGAAGTAAGTACTCAAATCAGTACCTAATAACACTCACTATTTTTACTTCTGCAGATTTCTATCAACCGATAAGTAAAGTTTTCTTACGAAAAAATTATGCATAATCGGATATCTGAAATCTCATCGAAAAAATAGAAGAAGAACGTAGAATTTTTTCCGCCAGAGAATTTTTCGATTCGGAATCTCGCAAAAGAAATCACGCGCACATTCTTTCATCGTCTGATCTCGATCGTCGAGGGATTTTCAAATGCGTCAAGTAGTTTTAGCTCTCAAGTCAGGGCAGAATGAAATTTACCAATAATGTAACCCTGGACAAAGTGTTGAGTGTGAAGGAAAAATTACCCTGTATTATTTTTTTCTTTATTTACTTTGAAAGATGGGGTGCAAGTCCGGGAATTTTGCCGTTGGTAGTACGGGATTTTTCGATAAATTCAGGAAATGTTGAAATTTTACTTCAGAAGCAAATTTAATGGGTGGGGCAAAAAATCAGACGAAATGTATTACGTATCGCAAGAAGGCCTCGTACGGAAGTGATGCCGCCGCGTGAATTTTCTCCGCAGGATTTTGTACGAATGAAAAATGATCGATGTCACAGCAGAGTCGACAGATTCTAACGCGTCTCTCAGTGCATTTTCGTCTGGTGGCCGTAAAATGTTTAACCTCAACATTTTCCTGAGAATAATCACCTTCCAACGTCACTCGTAACAGTGCTTAAAATTTAATCCGCTCTTTTGCAGTGTTGTCGCGTCGTTTGAAAATCGGCCAGAAGTCCTCAAGTCCGAAAGAACAACGAGCGACTCCATTTGATGAGATTTTCATTTTGAATGAGCCATATGTCAAGACTTAATTTAATTCTCAAACTCGGATTTCATGATGTCATGAAAAGAAAGCCTTTGATAGGCAGGATCACCCCTCCCCCAAAGGATCATAAAAAAAATCTATTAAAATTTTGCGATCTGTTAATAATATAGTAATAGCTCCTGCAAGAACAGGTAATGAAATCGATAATAAGAATACAGTAATTAGTTCTGACCAGACACATAAACTTAAATATTCAAAGTTTTTACCAAGAACCCGCATATTAAAAATTGGAACAATAAAATTCACTGAAGCTAGAATTGAGGATACACCTGCAATATGTATAGAAAAATTCAATAAATCAACTGATAAACCCCTATGAGGTAACCTTAAAGACAAAGAGATCCTTCAAATCGCATTTGAATGCCTTTCAAAGGATCGGCGCGTTATGGGGTCGTTCATAAAATACGTAACGCGGTAGGAGAAAGGGGTTTGAGTTTGCGTTACCAAGGATAGAGGGGNGGGGTAGGACTGCGTCACGTAACGCTAGAATAGTCGCATGTCATCGATGAAAGATGAAAAATCGTCAGGAGTAGGTAATTTCTCTTGGCTGATCTGATGGTGGGGGGTTGAACGTAATATTTTGGGGAGGCTATATATGGATGTGTGTTACGGTTGCGTTAGGAGGGGGAGAAGGGTGTAAAGAAATCCGAATAAGAGCTTTTCGTATTTTATGAACGGCTCCTGTTAAATGGATTCACCTCTCTCGCTCGTGCGGTAGGTCTGCCAGAAATAAAAACGTGATTGAAGTATCATCGCGTTGAGGGAATAATGCATGGATTATTGGCGATTTGGTAGCGCGGTTCCAGCCGGACATGCGAGGGGGGGGGGGGCCTTTAGGGNGGGACTTTAAGGTCATTAGCGGGAGTGCGGCCTCAGAGTGAGACCTGGAGGTCGCGGCAGACGCTGGATATGTGTCATACGCTGTCGATACCCTTTTTCGGATTATCTTTGTCTCTATCGCTCGGCGGCGGCGGCGCATGCGCATGAAACGGCAGCGGCGCTTCCGCCAGTTCCAACTTGTTCCTCCTTTCCTGACCGCGCATGTTCGCACCGAAAGTGGAGCTATTTCCGAGCTTTTGTCCTGAGAAGAGCTTTTCGAGCTTGCTCATCGTCCTTTCTTTAGAGTGTTACGCAAGGTTTCCGGCTCAGGAGCTCTTGTTGGAGGCGGTACTTGTCACTTGGAGCGCGGGTTGCTCTTTCAAAAATTCCTTTTCGCAAATTCTTAGAGCAGTGGGCACTTTCACAGACGTGACAACTCTCCTTCCAAAATTGTGCTTTTTAATAAGTACGTATGCAGGGATGTAGGAAGTTCTTGGCTTTCGCAGTTTCGAGCAACCAGGGATTAACCCACGCACAATGAGTGTGCGCCTTCGGAGTAATTTTTTACAAAATTCTACATTTAAACAGTAATTTACTCAAAAATTCAACGCTTTCGCTCGGGGTTTTTTTTTTCTTTTCTTTTTTAATTTACACAATCTTTGTCTTAATGTCCAGTAAAAATCAGTGCATTAAGCTTCTCTTTTTTAAAATAAAACTGATTTTTTTATTCTTGCAACCGAACTTCTCTCATTAGTCTTTTTTACACCTGATGTTCATTCAGGTATACAAACTGGACGTAGAGTTTGACGAACCGAATATTAGGGATGATATGGAACACCATGTTCTCCGTCATTTTGAGGATACGCAATTTTATCTTTTTGGAAGTTAAAATCTTTGTTCTTATCACTTATTTCGCCCCATCAAACTTTTTTACTCGTGCGTTAAAGTCTCCGAGTCAGTCGAAAATAGTTGACGTTCTCCCTTATTTCGTGGGTCTGCAATTTTACCTATTTGGAAGTCGAAACAGCCGTATCACATGTTTCGCTCCTGTCGATTTTTTTTACCTTCCGTAAGTCTTCTTTACGTCTCTGAGCAAGTGGAAAAGAAACCAAGTTCTTTTTACTTTTGGGGATATGCGTGAAAGGTTTGTTGCTTCATAATTGGACGTATTTATGCTAGAAGAAAACACTATGTGTATAGGGTTTGCGTGATACTTAATTCCTTTTAGCGTAAATATTCAATCATAATCGGATCTTGGAAAAGGGATCTCATCTTCTAGAAAGAAATTTCAGAAACTTGGAGCTTCGCGCGAAAAGCGATGGCGGGGAGCGCCTGCAAAACTGTAGGAATACTTCAAGCACCGCGCCGGCGGAACCTGATCTCCACTCTCGCTCTCGGCTCTTGACTCGCGAATCGCGGCGAGTTCCTAGATGCGCACGCTGTTTGGAAATGCGTCGGGCAGCACGCCTACACAACTTCGGAAGGTGTGCACAAAAATGGAGCGCATTTTGATCAAAAAGTAGTACATTTTATATAATCTATTATTCAAGGTCGTAGTCTACAAAGTTCGTGAACGACCGGTCGTTTGTTCGTGAAAATTTTTAGTATGTGGTCGATGCAAATTATTCCAATTTGACGAGTTGGCGCTCATGTCGTGCGCAAATTAGCGGCGATTGCTGACACCTTGCGACGCATATCCATTTTGCACCAGTGTATTAATAGTTAATGCTGTATTAATAGTTATTTACGACGATTTCACCGAGTTTTTTTTTTTTTTTTTTTTTTTTTTTTTTTTTTTTTNTTTTTTTTTTTTTTTTTTTTTTTTTTTTTTTTACTTCAGCTCCTTCAATCTTGAAAACATGCGGTTACATTATCGTACTTCACAGTTTATAACATAATTCTTTTCCGCTTGTAGTGTCGGTAAAATTCACTGTTGAATCGTTAATTTTTCATCATGAGAAAGATTTCTTCCCGCATTCAAATGGAGTTTATGTTTAAATAGGGAGGAAATTAATTCATGTTTAAATAATTCATCAATTTACATTGTTTTGTACTCGCTCGTATCTTCTTCCGGAAAAATGTTAACGCACGTTTACTGGGTATCTCGGTCTTGAAAAGCGTCGTGCAGTTGATAAGCAAAGAAAAAAACGTATTTATCAGCTTTCACAACGTTGCAATGTGTTTCTTAGTTTTTTTTTTTTTTTTTTTTTTTTTTTTTTTTTTTTTTNTTTTTTTTTTTTTTTAAATATTTGTGACACAACATTGTCGGTGATAAAAATACCTGCTAGATTTTATAATTAGCAGATAGCGTGATTAAATACACACAGAGCGACGGAAATAAGCTTCTCATGGTCCGTTCTTAGCTACGGTTTTTTATCATTCTCTTATCACAGGCTTTCTTTCATATTTTAAAATTTCTAATTCATTAAGCATGAATTTTATTCTTTCTTAATGCTACCGCGTTAATACCATCATATTTCCCTCATATTGATGTCTGTCATCGTTGGACTTAATTTCAATATCAGTGCAGTAAAATGGATCAGGTTTTTTTTTTTTTTTTTTTTTTTTTTTTTTTTTTTTTTTTTTTTTTTTTTTTTTNTTTTTTTTTTTTTTTTTTTTTTTTTTTTTTTTTAAGATACCCAGTCCAAGTGAACCTTTCCCAGGAAAAGACAAAAATACAAAATCTAAGAGAGAAGGTGAAGGAGAAAGATAAATGAAAGAGAGAAATATTGATGGAAGAGAGAAAGAGCAAACAGAAACATCCATGCTCCTCCAAAGTGACAAGATGTGAAACCGTTGAATTTTATCACCCTGGCTGGGATTCGAACCCGGGACCTCTGGGCCTCTGGGTAGTCAGTTGCGCTGAAATGAATTAGTTGTTTCCCAAAGAGAAAGACTCCATCCTCAGATGAGCCATAGTTTACATTTATCTTGATGCAGTTATGGGGCTCGTATAAAAATGCATTTGTTCCCTTCTAAAAAGAGCCGATTTAGGATGGCAACATTTATTTTTGGGGCCGATATTTGAAGTTGCGTGGAGCGGACGACGAGATAGACAGAATTTGCGGGTCCAATTCGTGTCACTGTCTGGTCGGTCGTCGGAGTGAAAGTGGTCAGGCCGCGAGTACCGCGACGCGATGGCTATGACGAAAATCAACGAAACGTCGTGGCGCACAGAGGAACGTGAAACGAGACACCCAGGTTCAACGTCAAATTTTTGACTAAAACTCCTTTCTTACTTATTCGGTCACAGTGTGACATTTAATGGGTGCCTCTCAAAGAAATGTTGACGAAGAAACCAATGGAAGCACCTTCAAACTTCT